TCACTACGTGCAATATAACAAATACAATGTACTTTTCTTTAACTTCTTTTGATACATAGCAGACCTTAGAGTGCATACTTTGGAAAGAGGAAAACCAATTTTTGTAAGTTAAAAGTTTAAAAAGAAACTGATACTTTAAAGGGATTCGACTGAGGTTTTTTGTGACATGACAACTATTGACAAGACTTGAAATAAATTTTCGAGAGTAATGTTATATTTGATGCTTGACTTTGCGCAAAATTTCAGATCATTTGCTCTCTCCTTTTTTCCAGAATAATTATTCTGATTGTGAAAAATGACACAAATTGAAAAGTGTAGCAATGCCTTTGACTCAGATTGACTTTTATATCGTAGAAAATTAAAGGTGTTAGTAAATATATTGAAAACATTTAAATTTAGAAACCACTCGAGTGGTGATGAATTTATTCTTCAAAATTTTATTCATGTAACCTTGTGGCCGAAAAAAAACACAATTTTAACTAGGAAAACCCAGAAGATCCCTTCGATCCTAGCCCTGATCTTGTCCTTCGACTAAACTTCAGCACAAGAATTAATTGACATCAAACATATTATAATAGTACTTACATTTTCATTCCACATAAATATTCATTAATATCAACAACATAAAAATATCTTTAGATAAATAGATAACAGGCAGATTCTATGAATGTGCCTGACTATATAATAGAACAAATTGTTTACAATGTAAGTCATTGTAAACTTAACACGCTGTCTTTTTTATTCCAATAGAAAAATTTAAATATTTGTAAATAAAAAAAAACTATAAAAAACCCAAAAAACAAGCATGGTCCAAAGTACCTAGTATTCATTTACCCAGTTGTGATCTAATATCAGTGATTTGTAATTATATTGAATAGGAAATACAAATTAAAACAAACGTCATCAAAGTGTGTTTTTTCCCCATTCCTTTCAGTACGACTAGAATTGAAGCAGCGAATAGTTCAATGAAATTGCACAGTTTTTAAATGTATTTTTGAATATATTCCATAATTGTCTTTTGTATATGATTATAAAAAACAGACTTTCCGTTTTTAGTTCCAAGGCTGATCTATGTAAAAAATTCAAATTTTATGTTTTTAGGCTTTTAAACCTCACTGGACAGTTCCTGTCTTTGACAGTGCCTTAAATTTGAACAATCAAAGTTAAAAGGCAGAGATATACAGTGACCACCATTAAACAGAATTTTATTTTTTAAATATTTAACTTACATGCATTCAAAAATAATTATCTAAAATGGTTGTTCTCTCTGGTGGACATCAAATATATGATCATCTAGCTATGTTCCAATATCTCATAAAATGTACATTGTTATACTTAAAATGTGTATATTCATTTATTTAAAAACAGTTTTCAATAACTAATATCAATCATTTACATTTATGTTGTATATATACCCAAGTATTCTGTTGTTTACATATATATCTTATAATTAATATATACATGTAGGGGAAGACTTTAAGAGTGGCATGCCTAACTGTATTACCTCATTAAATAAAGTTTTTACTATTATGATATTTAATTTCGACCAAACTACTGAGAAAATACAGAAAATTAATAAGATGATTCTTGTACTAATATTAGGAACGGCCAGATAGTTTCCTTGAATAAATACATAGTAATATTATTTTAAAGAAACCTGGTTTGTGACGGCTCAAGTTATCCTTTCATAGACTGACTGAACAGCAATTTATCTTCATGATGGCCACATTTCTTGTTTCATGAACTTCTTTGACTGCTTAAACCTTTATATGCCGAAGTGACCTTGGAAATAGTTATGGGTAACACAGAAATATGAGGCACCAGTATACTTCAATTCTGATCATTGAACGGGTTGTCTCAATTCTGTAAGGTTATTACAGAATTAAGGACTTTTTATGACATTACCTAGACAATATGTTTAAGTGTATTTTTCATGATACTGGTAGTAAAAGTATGTCATGGTGTTAACCACTGACCTCCACTTATCTAAAGAAAAAACTGCTTAGTTGTCATGATCTTTTGTTGAGGCCCGTACTGGTGACATTTTGTCTTGACCTTTTGTTGGCGTCCATACTGATTAATCTTTTTTGGTGACATTTTTATATAAAGATCAGTTATCCAAAATTGTTTTTTCCACAAATTTTGCAACTTTTCACCTAAAAGAAATTGTTTGCCATGATAGAATTTTTTTGTAATATGGACTCCATTTTTCAAAATCTATCAAATAATATTCTTTTCAATCAAATTTGGAAGGGAGCAGGATTAAATCTTCACTCAGTTATACTAAATTTTAGGTAAATACAAAATTTCCTTTTGGTTAACAATCAAAATGAGATCCCATTTCAAAAGCTGTAAAATTGTAAATCATAAAATGGGAATCACTTGTACAGTTTTTCCCCTGTTTTAACTGATAATTTTGAAAATTTCTTAAAACCTAAGGTATTTGCCTCTCAATTTTTGTAGGTAATATTACAGAATCAAGGACTTGTTTATACATTTTAAACTCAAAATAAGCTGAGAATTGCGAAAAAAAAAAAAAAAATGATTTCCAACTGAATTCCAAGTATATTTCTATTTTCTGTGCCCCTGTTGATCTAAGAATTTAATTTCTTCTTCATTTTTGTCTTTTGGATCTCAGTGGTGTTTTTGATTTTTGTGCCCCCTCTTTATTTAGATTTAGTATCTTGTCTGTCTGTCCATCTGTTCGTTCGTTCTCTTTTGTGTCAAATGTCACTCAGTAAGTATTCGACCTAGAGTCATGAAACATAATAGGAATCTTGATCAGCATGTGTAGTTGTGCAACTGGGTATTTTTGTGTGGATATATTTAGTATTTTTAGAGTTATTGCCCTTAACTTTGTAAAAATTTGCAATTTTCAACTTGTGTCGTATGTAACTCAAAAAGGATTTGAAATAGAGTCATGAAACTTTACTGGAATGTTGATCAGCATGTGTAGTTGTGCACCTGGGTATTTTCGTGTGGATTTATTTAGTATTTTTTAGAGTTATTGCCCCTGACTGAGTAAAAAAACGTTTCATTATGTTGTGTAATTTGTTCCTTGAGTGCTTGAGTTGAATTAACCTACTTTACAGGAATAATGATCAACATCACTAAATTACAGGAATAATGAACAACATCACTGTGAATCTATGCACCTGGGACTTTGCATGTGGATTTTTTTCAGTTTTGTTAGAGGTATTGCCCTTGACTTACAGTAGAATAAATTTGCAATTTTCAACTTGTTCATGCATAGCTCAAAAAGTATGACTTGTAGGCCTGAAACTTTTCAAGAATGTTGGTCAGCATGTGTACTTATGCACCTTGGGATTTGCTTGTTGATTTATTCAGTATTTGTAAAGCATTGCCCTTTACTTAGTAAAAGATTTTTAGTTTTCAACTTGTGGCACATGTAGTTCAAAAAATACTTGACCTAGAGTCATAAAATTGACAGAACAGTGGCGTGCGGGGGCACCGGTGTCCTATGGACACATTTCTAGTTTAAATTTAATTTGTTTTTCATTATGCTTTGTTTGTTTTTCATAATGATTGAAACATAATGCTTTGCTCCTATGTTTACTGAACAAAAGTAAGGATCATCTCATGTGGATAGACTAATATCAGTGATTTTAACGATATACAAACATTTTTGCAGGTGGTGATGACTGAAACTTGCCAGGAACGCTAAGTTTTTGGCAAAATTGGAATAAGAGCTCCCTTGACCATGGGGCTAACTTGAGCAACATATAGGACTGGAATGATAATTAGGAGGAATATGGTATATATGTACATGCATCATGATCAAACTGATAAAGATTTTTTTTTTTATTTTATGTACCATGATGACACATGATTACCCTGCATACTAGAATCCACAGAAAGACTGGAATGTCACGGAATTTCCAGAATTAGCCTGCAATTTTTTTATAAATGAACTTTTAAAGAATTTTCTTGCATTTAAGTTTATGTTAAATATAAAAACACTTTCCATGGTCTTTTTTTAAAGGTTTCTTAAAAAAATCTCTTAACAAGAGATCCATGATGGGCAAATTGTCCCCGGAATCAGCAAGGGTTAGTTAGCCTGCAGTTTTGCACGTAAAAATTGGCAAAATGATGTCAAATAAATGTTGAAGAACACGACTGTACTTTATATGATAAATGTCAATAAACTGACCTATTTCTTTGTATCATAGGACAATTAGCACATTCATGACCTGTTTATTTGTATCAAAAATAGAACTGAAATTCTGAACTACAATAAATGTCATGACCCAGTGTAATGTCAGCCAGTCAAGACTTTATATCTGCCCAAAAAAATTCTATTATGTTTATGTTATGCACCTGGTTGTCTGTCCATCTGTGAGCAAGATTGTGTCCAGTCTGTTTCTTTGGAATATACAGAAGGAAATTGAAACTACTTGGCAGAATGATAAGCCTCAAATGTCTTTGAGTGTATACAACAATAGCAGAAACACCAAAAACCTCATATGGGCTTGAACAGCTGGCCTGGTCACTGACAGTTGGTAAAATATTATTCTATAGTATGGGCTAGTGATCTTGACAAAGTAGTCTCCCTCATTAGAATAAGGATTTTGAATAACTCATAAGACCTTGATCTAAAGAAGACCAAACCTCAGTTCTGCTCAGCACCTCATTGAGATTAACATCCCTGTAATTGCTAGCACACAGCCTTTAACACCCATATTGCAAAAAGATAAATTAAATGCTCATTGACTTTCAATGACATATCCTCCAACATACTTGTGTGTACAGTATGCTTAGTGCGATATATGTCATGATGATATTGATAAAATGATAATTATTTTTACACGTTTTCTAGCAGTATAATGTACTTGACAAGGAACATAAAAGCTTATAGTGATTATCAGTGGCAATACATGTACTTATTTTTTAGTTCATCTGAGCATAAAATGTACATGTATTCAATACTTTGAGTATACATGTATATTCTAAAAAATATACAATTAAAAATACACTCCGAATAATTATATCTACTAATTTATTTTCAATCTTTTTAACAGAACACCTTCATTCGGTCCTAAAGGTAGCTCCGGAGAGTTCAAATATGGTTTCCTTGCACATTCAAATGTTCGCCTATCCTTAGGAATTCCGAGCCTATTCAGCAAGCGTTCAGATATGTTTGGTATCACAGGCTGTAGCAAGATTCCGCTCACTCTAAGTGTGTCTAATGCAAGGTGAAGGACACATTTGAGGTGAAGAACGTCTGCTTCTTGGTCCGATTTGGCAAGATCCCAAATCTTGTGGTTCTCAACTAGACCGTTCGCCCATCTTAGATATGACATGATGCTCTCTATGGCCTTGTACATCATCATATCTTGATAATATCCCTCCACTGTGTCTGTAAAATAGAAAAGAAATTTAGATATCACATACCCGTGTTGTTTTGCCACTCTGTTAAAAAAAAGTTGCCTGGCTGTACATATATATTGGTTTATACAGATTTTTTTTTTAAATTAAGAAAGAAATGAAATACAACACGTCAACACCAGTGCAGGAGGATTATTTTTTTTAGTTTGATTGTGTAGGGAACTATTAGCTTATAGACTTTTAAATCTGTTCCTGGAACCAACCGGTACGGTGCAATGAGTGTAGATTTTAGTTCAAGGAAACATTAACAGCTTGCCCCTGACAGTATTTAAAACCACATGGTCAGCAATCCATAAATTACTTGTCCAACTTAAGTACTAGTAAATACATTTTTACGTGACCTCATTTGTGTTATACAAATAAAGCATAAAGACTAGCATAAAGATTAGCTAAATGTGAGAGTTACACTATAAGCATTTCAATATAAAAATTATGTAAACATTTTTCTATAGAAGTCAATATACATGTAATTATGTATTTAGTGATAGGTTCATTGATTCTTGCTAGCAAAGGCATCAGAAAAACTAGAAAAATAATCTAAATAGCAATTTCCATTCTACTTCAGTCTATGCTGCTAAGTTTTATTGTAAGTACTCTCTAACCTTTGTTGTACTTATATAAAAGTACATGTATGTATAATAACGTTTTCTATATTCATTACCAGCATTGCAGAGAGTGACAAGAATATATTCTGCACTATGGGTAAATATTGAAGAAGAAGAAAGTGACAGAAAAAATGTCACAAAACCAGCTTTACTGATGTAGGGGAAAAAACAAATTGCCATAATGATGTCACAAATTTTCAAATTATAAAACCCAAACAATAAAAGGTAAGGTAAAGGTCTTGATTATTATAATGTCCCCCTACTGAAAGGGCCAGCCATTTTGTTTTATGAGACACCTTTTGCTTGCATACCATGTACCTCCCAATTTCCATCACTATGCCAGGCGGATAGAAATCAGTAACCATTCATTTTAACTACCTCGCCGCTCACGAAGCGGCCATTTCGGAACGAGTCCCACGAGAAACATTCATCCTTCAATTAACACTCCCCGTGGGGCTCGAACCTTCGACCTCCCGATCCGAAGGCGAACACCTTAACCACTAGGCCAACAGTACCAGTTACAATATATGCCAGGGTATTTTGGTGACAACAATTCTGTGAATGTTCAGTTAAAATCCTTTGAGAAATGTAAGAATAGTGCATGGGTAGTGCAGGGAAGAAATTGCTTTCACCCATTTGGCCCCTTGATTTTCAGACATTCACCAATCTTATAACCAATTTTATATTGTAAAACTTAGTTATTTATCATGCTGTTTTTGCCTCAGAAATGTAGTGTTTTTGCTTTTAGTATACTGCAGTAGCATGAGATAATGAAATAGTGCTGAACATCACTGATGGGTACTTTTGTATTGATAATATCAAAAGCCCACAACAGATGATATATAGAGAATATTGAATGTGTGTAGGTTCATAACTGAATTTATTTAACACAAATAAATTCATATTATGTGAGCTTCTCTGGTGAGCATACTATAATTTCATTCATTGACAACTAGGTCAATAAATTCAGTAATTAGGCTACACAAATACATGTATAATATTCTATTCATCACTTATCCAAAATATGAGTTTACATTAAAAAAGAATTATTTTGTCATTGACGCACTTATAGTGTAATACTAACATTTAGCATGACTTTTATGTGATGTTTATATAACACAAATGACGTCATGTCAAAAAATACTACGCACAATCATGTTTTTACAGAGTTGCAAAAGCAGCACGGATATGTGATAATTTAATATGTCAAACTAAATAGTTAAAGTTCAGTTGTACAGTGAAAACCATTTCAACATATGACATAAACTATCACCATATTGCATTGCTTATTTTAAACATTACAAATACAAACAAACAAACTCAAAGAAAGTTATTTACTTTTTGTTATTATTTCTCATTGAAAACTAAATACATACATATACATGATATAGGGAAAATGATTTAATGACGTAAAATGTGACATCATTGTTTCAGTTTGTGCACATACTCGTGTTCAGTAGGCCGATTATGATTATCAGTTATCAGCCCCGGGCGGCAAACTCATAATCAATTGAAATCTTATGCAATTTTGTTACTATATATAGTAACAAGAGTATTAATGGTACTGAAATCGATGATATATCAATATCACCATTATTAACAAGCAATTATATTAGTATTGCAAGCAATCCATAAGTCCCCTACCGGTTAGAACCCCATCAACATTCTGAAGGGCCAATGGCCATTCACTAATGTTTCAATTTTTCTATATTTTAAGTAAATTTGTTGGAAAAGTTCTTTAAAAGTGATCACAGGAAACAGTTTTTATGAACAGACAGACAGACAGACTGAAGGACACTCTAAAGTTAATATTTGAAGCATCCCTGTTACCAAAATATAACATTTTTAAAAGCAAAATGCTTAAAGAGGAGATAACTCTTGAATTAAAGATGCAATTTCATAAAAAAATTTCAGCTCTTTTTGACTTATCACAAACAATGTTATATTTGCCATGTTTTAAGCCTATTTGTTGCCAAGGCAACCAATATTTTTTCAAAATAGGGAGAACAGACAAGACATGCATAATCTCAAGACTGCCATCTACCCATATATCAAGTTTCATAAAAATATTTCCAGTACTTTTTGAGTTATCACTGGATTCAGTGTAAGTGTAAAATTTGCCATATTTTCAGTCTATGTATTGCCATAGCAACCAGAATTTTCAGCATAGGAAGAAAAGAAAAAAACGTGCATAATCTCCAGACTGCCATCTACCCATATTACAAGTTTCATAAAAATATTTCTATTACTTTTTGCGAACACAGGATCCAGTTTATGTGTAAAATTTGGCATATTTTCAGTCTATTTGTTGCCATAGCAACCAGAATTTTCAACATAGGAAGAAAAGAAAAAGAGGTGCATAATCTCCAGACTGCCATCTACCCATATTTCAAGTTTCATAAAAATATTTCCAGTACTTTTTGTGTTATCACTGGATCCAGTTTATGTGTAAAATTTGCCATATTTTAAGCCTATGTGTTGCCATAGCAACCAGAATTTTCAACATAGGTAGAAAACAAAAAGACGTGCATGATCTACATACTGCCATCTATCCATATATCAAGTTTCATAAAAATATTTTCAGTACTTTTCAAGTTATCGCGGGATCCAGTTTTGTGGACGGACGGACTGACGGACTGACAGACAGACAGACTGACAGACAGACAGACGGACAGACAGACGGACGGAGGGTAAACCTAAAGTCCCCTCCGGTAAACCGGTAGGGGACTAATAACAGCCTTTGTAAAGCAATATAATTAATTACCAATAAGTATTTCGATGTTCTCAAAAGTTTCCCTATCTGCCGCTGTTATTGAACTAATGTAGGTATCCTGGTCTTTTCTGGGGTAAATCTGATCACGATTTATAGCCGACGCTGTACATCTACTTAGAAGATTACCAAATGTGTTCACAACATCCGAATTAACATACTCCATGGCTTTCTCTTCCAAATAATCTACAGTAACACAAGAACACAATTTATATCGTATATTAACGTTGTTTTTTTGCGAGTATATAATTTATACATCATATCACATCCTAAACCTGAGTGAGGTACATGTATATAGAAAATTGTTTCGTGTTATTTAGATTATGTCCTAGTTCTATAAGATATACATGTAACAAAGTAGATAACACAATACATGATATCACAGAAAATGTCGTACAAATAATCATCATTTGGTGCCAATTTTGGAATCGTTTACTAGTTTTAACGCCAAACCTATAGACTAGAGATGTAGTAGAGGTAGACCAGAACATACATACATGTATATAATATAACTTCGTATAATTCTAATATTACAGTACTAACAATATGTTGTTTGTTTTGTTTAGTTTTACGGCACACCAACACAATTTAGGTCATATGACACCAAAACAGGAAAGATGATTTTGGCTAACCTCTGGAGTTAAAGCAACCTGCTCAAGATGCATACACTCCTTAAGTTCAAACCCATTTAGTCTACTCTTACAATCATACAAGTTTTAAGAAATTCTATTGAACAGTTTTAATTTTGCCTACATGAAAACTCCGAAAAACGTCTTAAAAGGGACTCCACTGAGATTTTTTGACATGACGAGACGGGGAAATATTTTTTTGAGATTAATGCTTAGTTTGATGTAGGTCTAGATCAGTAACTTGTGTGCAAAATTTTAGATTGTTTGCTCTCGCAGTATATCCAGGATAATTATTCAAGTAGTGATGAAAAAACATTTAAACACTTTTCACTCAAATCATATGAAAAATAGCATAAAAATATGCTTTTCAATTCATTTCTGAGTAAATTTCTTAATTATTTTTTTGCAAGTCTTCCTGTTTTACGTGACCCAGCTGATCTGTGTAAAAAATAAATTTTATAATTAAAGGCTTTTGAACCTCAGAGGAGTTCCTTTAAATAAGTTACAAGTATGTCTTACTTCCATCAGAATGGGGTACACCTTCTCGCAGCAAATAATATCTGAACACCTCTGCTGAGTATTTTTCTTTCACAACCATAGGGTCTACTACATTACCTAAACTCTTTGACATCTGAAATAGTGAAAAAAATTAGTTAGAAAGGTTTTTTTTCCTTAGGTTATATGGCATGATATACATGTAAACAGTACGGCTTGTCACATATCATAATTTCCCAAACAACCTTTTATATATGGCAAATTACCTGTCAAAAGTGATAACGAAAAATAGTTTACAATTCCTTTCCTACAATAAAAATTACTACATAAATGTGCAGTAGTCACATAAAGAGAAAATGCAAATGTCACTATGGTATGAAGAAAAATTGACAATATAATTTACTTCCTATGTTTTTTTTAAAAATGAAATCTTTTTAAAGGGAAACACAGGCAAAATTTTCATATTTTCAATTTTAATTTTCTATCCAATATTCAATAAATGTCATCGAAATGAATAGACTAAGCAGTCTAGGGAACAAAACTTTTCTCCATATAAAGAAAAAAATGTCTGTTTCCTTACCTGACCCACTCGGGTCAGGCTAGAGCATCTAAATTTCACCACAGTTATCACAGTGAACTAAAAATATGTAAAAGAACCTGTCAAATGAGCGACTTTGACTTATTTTAATCTGGCCATATCCACAATATTTGTTGTTGTTTTTTTTTATTCTAGGGTTTGTTATTGTCAAATGACTTGTTTTAAAATAACTCTTTGATTCTGTCTGCGTCTTCATTCTTTGGACATATGTAGACTCACACTATATTGCATTTATACAGAAACTAAATAATCACTTTTAAAAACTTCATTTTAGCGTGTTTTAAGTAAATATGGTAAATTAAATATTTTGTCATATATTTGCCTGAGTATCCCTTTAGATAATCTACTTTTTAAATTATCTATTTTGAAATTCTAAATTCAAGGCCATTTTAAGAGCTTTCAGTTAATTTCTAAGGACTTTTCCAGGGTTTTTGTCCAGGGCAATATGTCATGTTCAAAAAGAACATCAAATTCAAGGGTGTCTCAATACCTGTGCAACCCATGTTGATTTAATGATTTAAAAATAAAATAATCTTTTTAGTGTAAAATATATTTTGGAAAATATAATTATCTGATCTACAGATAGCAAATATTTGATACCTTCACACAGTTGATTAGCCAATGAGAATGACAGAAAATTTTCTTTGGGAGTTCTAAGCCTGCAGCCATCAGGAATGCTGGCCAGTAAATTGCATGGAACCTAAAATAATCATTTATACATGTACCATTAATTAATATGATGCTTGTGAAAAAGGAGAAATAATGATATTCTATCAAATTGACAATCCTTGTGCTAATAATAAAAAGTTTTATTTTCACCCTAAATAAATAAATTGATAAAAAATACCCCCACTACTCCCCTTCAATATGTATATTTATTTGCTTTTAAATTTAAATGCTAGTTAATGTTTAAAAAAAGGGTATAATTACTACCCAATGTTATTATAACTGTAGAATTTAGAATATTATATAACACGTATGTATGCCGTATTTTACTCAAGTATTTTTATTTTTAAATCTTCTAAGTAGAGTTATAGTATAAGAAGGGAGGCAACAATGCAACAAAACACTTGTGTTGAAGGTTTATCTCCCTTTTACACAACATCATATTTTCAGTATAAATGTTTAAAAACATTGTCAGTTTACACAAGTAACACCATATTTCCTTAACTTACTGGCACCTAAAGTGAATAACCATTGCCATCAGTATTTTAGGGCCAGCCAGTCTGCATGCATGTATAGTCTGACCTGAGGCTCCATAGTGATGTCTCTTTTGATATCCCACAATCCCTTAAACTTTGAATGGACCGTTCCAATTTCAAAGCAAGGCACACCCATCACCAAAATTCAGCAGCTTAAGGACTATGATGTACTCAACAAAATAAATTCATATCATTATGATTTTCATTTTTCTCAGAGTAAATACTGGTATACCGTTATTTAGTTCAGTATATTCATTTTTTCAAAGTTAATACCATTATACTGTATTCTTACGCCGGTATATTTTCATTTCTTCAAAGTTTATACTGTTATACTGTAAGTTTCACAGTTTTCTTACTTCAGTATATCTTTCCCTATCACTTGAACATCAGCTGGCCACCTCTTTTCTAGGGACGGATATCCACACACAGTAAGATAGTTAACTAGTGCATCCAACCATACATAGATCTGTAATATAGGAGACAAATATGTTTACAATTATTAAAACAAAATAACAACATTGATTCATGTTAATGTATACAACAACTCATTCCATATAATTATTCGTTTAGTTTTAAGTAATTGTAAAAAGGTTTTTAAAACTTACTTTTCATCATATTAACACCTAAACTGCTGGCTGACACCCATGCCATTAATTCAGACCAAGATCAGCTGGCACATGTACAGTGTCTGTTCATAGTCTGCACTGTGGGTTATTCAGCCATTATGTATTTTAAAATTTTACCTAAAAATAATGAATAGTTTTGTCCAGATTTAAAGGTGGACTAGTTCATTTAACATATTAAGCAAGGTAAAATTTTAAGTCATATTTTTTACACTAACTGTATACTGTTTTATCTATGATAACATTGAAGTGGTATACAAACTGTTTGAGAGCTGTCAGCAGGCACAGGTATTCCCCAAGACAGCCGACTGCTGGGTCGTGACACAGACAGGTCCTGTGGGTTTGACAACCAATGCTGTGCTATAGGAGTAAACATGGCCGGCTGTATCACTGTAAATAAAATAATAATAAATGAACTTGTTATTAAAACAATAAATCATACATATGATTACTCAATTTTATTGAAATAACTTCTGGTATGTACATGTAATTACCTTAATTGACAAATAAGAATTTCAAATAACATAATCTTAGCTTTTCTTAAACTGTAGAAAACCTTACAGTTAACAGTTCCTGATTAAGTGTTACCAATATTACTGTAGAGATCTTTATGAAAATACTAACTAAATGTCAAATTCTAAATTTATCCTGGAAGCATAATTACAAAACTTTTAAAGAATTTTCCTAAAGTTTCTTCACTTTCTACATGAGCAAAAAAGGAAAATTTAAACTAGTGAACAGAATTTTCTTAAACTTTTCATGATTAAAGAGATATAATATTATTATTGAAACATTTCTAAAAAAGGATCACCATCCTACTTATTGTAGGACCAGTAACACAAACACACAAGTCTGCTGCCTGTTATTTCAATTCACGTTTCTTTAAAAGTTATCTGGCAAAGCTCTTGGATTAAGTTTTAAGCATTTGTTCAGTGTTTTCACTTACCTCCAGTGTCAAGCCATTTGTGCAGTCTCTCAGTAAATTCAGAGAGTTTAAACATGTAATTATCCTCTTTCATCCACGTTACTGGGTTACCACTCTCCTTTGATACCTGTATATAGAAAAAATGTGAAATAAAATTAAGAATAGGGTAACACCAACATTACAATTTATATGGATTTTTTTTTCTGGTTGAGTTCTACGTTCCACCAACACAGTATATGTCATATGGTGACTTTCCATCTTTACTGATGTAGGAAGACCTCAAAAGCCCTTACATGCTTTATTTAACACCTGAATGGGCAATTGAGTAGAACCACCAACACTCAGAAGGCTAGCTGGATAGCTTCATGACAATTTACAAAGAAATAAGTTCAGTTTGATAGATTTCAAAACAAATTTTTTTTGGAGGGTAGTTTTTTTTTTAAATATGGAGGCAAAATATACTCTTTTTTTGAAAGGGTTATGGGACCAAACTTGCCCCCAAATAAGCCCAAAAATACTACTGACTTGGTCAAAGAGAAATAATCTGTCATTTGTTATGCTCCGATCAAAATATCCATTTCAAGGGTACCATGAGGCATAGACAAATTATAATGACATTATCATATGCATGTAGTTTCATTCTATTCTAATATGTGAACATCATTTTAAATCATGCGACACATCTGGCACTCCTACGCCACATGAAATTTCCAGCATGGATAAAATTGACAGAAACATCAGTCTGATATGCAAGAAATAATTCTTCATAGGACACTAAAACTGGTTAGTCTACCAATCAGACTGGTTAAAGATATATTATGCTCAGATTTGATATTTGACAATATTGAAAATTGCTACACAATCTCTTTGTAAATATAAAATAAACATGTTTTGACTTTACACAAAGTAGACAATGCATTAAATCCTACACACTATAAGTGAACACACTATTAATATATAGTGTCATTAAAAAACTTAACTTTTTTTAAAGAAAGGACCAGCTTTACTTGACCCATAATAAGGAACACAGATTTCTTTACATAGTTCATGAAGTTTGTATGTTCTTATGTTTTAGGGCGCGTTTGTTGACAACAAACTGAGTTCGGTTTTGAAACCGGGTTTTCAAACCTTCCATTTGTTTCGTAAAACTGGTTTTGAACTAGAAAAGGTTTGAACCATTTGTTTTCCTAAATCGCTAACTGGTTTGCAAAACCGACCAAACTGCCCCCATAGGCGGTTTGTACGGTTTGATGTATCCGATATTACGTGCACTTGTGGAAAAAAATGGCGGACCTCGTGGATGAAAATGGAAACAGGTAAAGAAACATAAGAATTTGTCAATTATGGCGAAAGGCCAATGTTATTTAAATGGTATGTTTGTGTATGTGGGCTCAGTTGTACAAAATAACATTTTGTAAAGGCACTCTGCGATCGGCAAAGAACATTTGTACCAATTCTATGTTGAAATTCGTTCAAGATAATTCGTACCCGGTTGCAAGTCAAAATGCCCCCAACTGGCCAAGTCAAAACGCCCCCATGTCAAAATGTCCCCATTTTGGCACCCACAAAAAGTGAGAATGTCCAAATTTGCGACCCAAATCGCTCCCATTCCAATCAAAACAATAACTTCCATCCGTTTTAAATCATTAATTTTAAAAATTTGACTATAAAGAGGTATTTAAACATGATTTAATTTTCCAAAATGGGGGAGTTTTGACTCGTACCCCAGACAGTCGTGTACTCATCAGCGCTCATGTAGGCTACAAATGTATGTAATACAGGGCAGATCCTTTTTTTAAATGTTTCAGGGTTATGGCTATTGGGCCTCTACACAGTGTCATCCCGGAACGTTTCCATCAACACCTCTCAAGAAAAACTCTGAAGAGTTATTTGGCATGTGATGAAAAGTATAGAGAACAGCTGGAAAGCAGCATGTACCCAGTCATTGTCCGGCAATATACAAACGCAGTGTTCCAGAGAGTGTTGAACAACCTTAATGGTCTTGGTAAGGATGCAGTCGAGGAGATACATCCTTGGGTGCTGTGCACCTTGATTGATTGGGACGAGTTTGACAAAGTCATATGCACTACAAAAAATCATACTACAACAAATCATACAGGTATCTAACTTCTTGGAGTTTAACATTGACCTTCCAAACATTGATCGAATGACCATTAAAGTTGTATTGAACATTGAAACGATCTAGCAGTACAGAAGTGTCTTAATAAGTTGATATTTTCAATAAATAAATTTTGGCATGAAAGACATGGAAATGGGTGTCATATTTAAGAAAAGGTTGTAGCTAACAGCGGTACTGTTTTTTCTATGTAGAATGTATGACATACCCTGCAATCTTGTATAATTAAGTTTCATAAATTTACGAGGAAATCTTCCATGTGTTGAGTATTTTCATTTCTTAACGGTCCTTACAGAAATGTGTCCCACTACCAGCTCTATATGCATGTATATTACATTTTGTACCATGTAATACAATGACTGAAAGTGACATAAACAAATCTTTCCATAAACCATTACAGATGACAGAGATACAGAGTCGGGAACAGGCACACCATGCGAAATGCCAGAGATTAGATCAACTGGGTAAACATCTTCCTCTTCAGATGGTGTAGGTAAGTAACATCTCCAGCCATATTTTTTATTAGCACTGCTGGTCACATACTAGTAAAGCTTAGGAGAGCTTATGTCATGGTCTGATATACATCATCGGTTTAATTGTCGTCATCATAAACATTTGCTACAAACGACATCTCTTCAGACAGTTAATGGAGAAGTGGCCATTCGTCTAAGCACATTAGCTTTTTTGCATTATTACTGTTTTGATATATCTGTGTAGATTATCGGAGCTTTTTTGCATCATACTATCAACTATCAAATTCAACTATTAGCTTCAGCTTGTCTGTATTTGTGTCTGCAGCTGTATTGCCAGCAAACAGCATAATCATTCTCAGTCAAAAATGACTTGCTAACCAATAGCAAGGAGTTTCTTCAAGGAGTTAAATAGTTAATTTAAAAAAGTAGATGGATATAATATCCATTATACCACGTTGCGGATTTAATTGACTATTTTCAGTAACCAAAACACAACCATACCATCAAGATCAGATGGTAAAAGCTGTACTACTGTGCGGCATAAGCATCCATTCCTTCATTTGACTGCTTTGAAGTTATTGTGGTTGTCATAGTGACAAAATATTGCAAGTGTTAATCGCATATTATTGTGGTCTGACCGAAAATGTTAAACAACTTGACTTCAAATGTATTCAGTCACACATAAATGCTCACATTATTATTTCATGGTGAAGAACTGATTTTATTTATAGCACCAACAAGCCAGAATGGCCATGATGGGACTACAGATGCTGCTGAGCCAGATGTTGTTGCGGAAAACATGAAGTCTGAGAAACAAGTTTGGACAAAACCCGCAGTCCTGAAGCTGATTGCCCTGCATCAAGACCACGAGGCTGACTTCAGAAAACCTTCACTGAAGAAAAAAACTATCTGGTCCATTATTGCATCAGATATCAACAAAGAAACCAAGTTAAATGGTACATATTCAGCTACTCAGTGCGAGCAGAAATGGAAAAATATTACTAAAGTGTATAGGGACACAGTTGACCATAACATGAAATCAGGCAATGAGCGAAAAGAATGCCCTTACTTCCATGAACTGCAGGACTTTTACGGGTACAGACCCAATGTTACTCCATTGTATGTAAGCAGCTCCATCAAGTCACCTCAGACTCAAAGCTCTTCTGTAGAGACAGAAGATGAGAAAGATGTAGAAAAACAAACATCAAAGAAGCCAAAGGTGAAGCATAACCGCAAGGATGCAGTTGTTGAAATGCTACAAGAGATGCGTGATGACATGAAGCAGGAACAAAAACAGTTAATGGAAGTTTTAACCAAACAGCACGAAGACCGTATGGCAAATGAGAAAAGCAAACTAGAACTTTTTGATAAATTGGTTAATGCTATTTCAAAATCCAAGTAAGAGTGAACACTTTACAAGGTTTGTTTTTTGACAGAAGTGGAGAGAGACATGGAAGATTTGTAGGAGCAATCTTTGGGTCACTTTTCTAGTGAATATTTTCTGTTTCTTCATGCTCCTCTGTTCAGTGATACAGAGCTGTCATGGCCCTCTTGTTTATGGCATTTTCTTGCAATGTTTTGTTGGAAGTTTGAACTTTTACTTTAGATTTTCATCCATGTACAAGGCAGTACACACTTAGAAATTGAAGTCACATATCTGTAATATAGATATTGTATTTTGCATTTTAATTATTTTCACACCAGTGAATATTATTTCTTTGTAATTGTTAAATAACAAATGTTTAAACTCACTCTTGGTACATTTTGTATGCAAATTGAAGTCGCATATCTGTAATATAGATATTGTATTTGCATTTTAATTATTTTCACACCAGTGAATTTTATTTCTTTGTAATTATTAAATAACAAATGTTTAAAACTCACTCTTGGTACATTTTGTATGCACAGCTGGTTTTGGTAAATTTTAATGGTGGCCATGTATAAGAAGCATCGTCAGTTTAATTTTAACCTTACACATGTCTATGTGTTGATCTTGATTAAAGCTAATTGATGATAAACAGAACACATTATGTTAAACCATTTTATATTTTTTGAAGTTTTTCATTGATATGTTGTGTTCTGCTTTTGGATGGGATAATGGCTGTTTTAAAAAACTTGAAATTCATTGTAGAACTAAAGACTGATTAAAACTCGGTATGTTTCTGAAATTTCACCCAAGGAAATCATTGTTCATGTTTTTATGCCCCCCGAAGGGGTGGCATCTTAAAATTGGACCGTCCGTGTGTGTGTCTGTGTGTGTGTGTGTCTGTCCGGGCAACAACATTCTTGTCCGGTCCGTAACTTTGTCATTTCTGTTTAGATTTCAATATAACTTGGCAGAAGTGTTCACCATAAATGGGCGATGTGCAGAGCGCAAGACCCAGGTCCGTACCTTCAAGGTCAAGGTCACACTTGGAGTTCAAAGTTCAAATATGCATATTTTTTCTCTTGTCCGGTCCATAACTTGTCATTTATGTGTGGATTTCAATATAACTTGGCAGAAGTATTCATTATAAATGGGCGATGTGCAGAGCGCAAGACCCAGGTCCGTACCTTCAAGGTCAAGGTCACACTTGGAGTTCAAAGTTCAAATATGCATATTTTTTCTTTTGTCCTGTCCATAACGTTGTCATTTATGTGTGGTGGATTACTGGTGGATTTTTAAATTGATTTGTAGAAGATGGCGTGCAGAGCACACATGACCCAGGTCCGTACCTCCAAGGTCAAGGTCACACTTCAAGGCCAATGGTCAATTTCGTGGGGCATACGTCACTTTCTGTGACATTTCTTGTTTGTCATTCATTTGTACCTGTTATAATTGTTTTTGGTTAACTGTTTAATAAAATGAGAAATAAGATCTTTTGTATTATGAAGTTTCATCCTACATTTATGTATCTGTTATTATCCGTACTGGTAAGTCAGTAATCACATGTGAATGGTAACGAAAACAGTTCGGTTAGGTACCCAGGAAACTGTATTGGTCTCCGACTCTGGATTAAACTTCACGAGACAATATAGAAATAAAACAATTTTATTGGTAACACACTATTGTTTGCTGTAAGAAGTGAACAATATTGAATGATACACATAGTCACATAGCCTGAAACACATACATAGTCACATATCCTGAAACACATACATAGCCTGAAACACATACATAGTCACATAGCCTGAAACAAGTGTAGCTGCTGAATAAAGCTCAAAATCTGTATACTGCTGTTGATCGCTTTGGTTTGTACTACAAGTCACAGCTGTCATTTGAGAGTGCAAACAATCGTTTTTCTTTTCATCTCTGCACTGCTACAAAGTGGCATGAAGTTCTCAAAATAGTTAGCCTCGTCAGCTTCAGCCATTCCTTCAGTGATGTAATCCAGCAGGTCTTCTCTGCACTGGACACAAAGCTGATGGAGGGTGCAACAGCTAAGTACAATATGTACAATAGAAGAAATGTCCTTCAAGTCAATAAACTTTAACCTTCGAAACCGCCCCTTCAACGCACCAAAAGCACGTTCAATACACATCCTTGTGGAACTGTGAATGTAGTTGTATGTCTTTTGATCTTTGTTTAAATTGCCACAGCCTTTGTAAGGAACCATCATCCAAGATGCTAGGGCATATGCTGAATCTCCGAGGAGATGCGTGTTACCTGGAAAAACTTGCGAAACATCAGCCTCAATTTTATCCATAAGTGGGGAATTTTTAAGGATTCTTGAGTCATGGACTGATCCTGGCCAACCACAAAAGACATCGATGAATAGTAGCTTACTATCGCACACGGCTTGTAAAACAATAGAAGGGTACTGTTTACGATTGATTTAGTTTTCTGGAAATTCTGACGGTGTACGGATGGGAATGTGACTACCATCAATAGTGCCCATTATCCCAGGAAAGCCAGCTAGTTGCTGAAAGCCATCTATTGTCTCCTTGGCTTTTTTACCTGTTGGCCATTTTATCAACTCGGGCAAAAGTTTGACGCAAATCATCTCAGACACATCGTGGATAACAGAATGAACACTTGTTTCACACACACCAAAGATGTCTGCTAGTTGCTGAAACGTAGTTTGCGTAGAAAGATATTTGATGAACAACAGTAGTTTTTTCTCAGCCGTAATCTGGTGTACACCCCTTGAGTTCTTCAAAAAAGGTGACATCATATGTAAGAGTTTTTCAAATGTGTCTCTGTTCATTCGAAAACGGTCTTTGAAATCATCAATGGTGTATTGACGGTAGACAGTCTCCACATAACCACGAATTCTACTTTTTTCATGACGAAGTGTACTAAATGCAAGCACACCACTGATCTGAGCATATATCGCGTGATTTCTGGAAGATAAATAAACATGACTAGCGTCTGATTTATCTTCATCCTCAAAAATTCCCTGCAATGCTGCCACAAGTGTTGCCATGATTGCAAACCATTTGTAAAACCATGCATTTGTAGTAGCAACTGCAAACCATCTAAACTAGTTTTGGTTTCAAAATAATTTGTCATAAAACCTAAACCTACTACTGAAACCGGTTTATGCAAAACAAACGCGCCCTAAATAAGACATATTCAGTAAGAATTTTATAGATTTCAATAAATTTCCGCAATAATAAATATTTTGTTCAAAAATAAGCATAGTACATGTATATCTTCAAGTGAGGATAAATTATCAAATTTTATTTACCATGATTTTCTCTCCCTTTTTATTTACCACTTCTGTAACATCAACTTCTGTAAGGAAAGCTTCATCTGAGACTGAGTACCAACCTTCATAAGATCCTTTATAAATATATCCCCTGGTTTCCAGCTCAGTCTGAAATAAATAACATGCAATCTTCACCATTATCATATACCTTTAAAATGCACTTTGTTTCTGTTAATACATGTATATTAAGTCAATTTCACAACATTTTGGCCCAATACTCTTACAAAATACAAGAAAACAATATGTTGGTCAAATAGGCATAACAAATACCAGCAAAAATCTTTCTGACAAAATTTATTTAACCTTTTACTGCATGAGCATATTGGCAAAAATGGCCGTTTTCATTGAAAAGCCTCCTGTTACAAGTTCAAACTGCTATGAAACTATGAAAAATGCTTCAATACTAATGAAACTTGGCAAAAAAGTTGACTGGACCATAGCCTCTGTAACAGCATGCTCAATCATAAATTTCCTCTCACCATGGCAATGCGGGCTTGTCTCAAAATTGCTATGAAAACCACTATTTTGTAGTTTTTTTTTCATCAAAACGGATTTCAAAGTGCTGCAACTTCTCAATGGATTGAGATAGAGTAAAAGGCTTTTCAGCGTTGATTACTAGTTACCTTAAGACTGACCTGAAGCCCTTTTTCACTGTCACATTTTCAAAATTTAACGAGGGGGATTGCCCCCCTTCAAAACCCCCAAACAAAAGGGAGCACATCCCCCTTCTGGCAACCCCTTAACGTACAATTTTGATGGGGATGATGCTGAAAAAGTGATCACTTTTTTAACAACATTTCTCAACGAAAAACAGTGTTTCTGGCCTAAATAGCGCATTTGTTCACTGTTTGAGGCCTCATAGGTGGGGGTGGGGGCAAAAAGCCGTCAAAATAGGTCTATATGAGGTAAAAGGTTAACATTTAAGATAAATTTCATTTACTTACTTGCCAGGAAATACATTCTAAACAAATTAACCTACAAAAGGACTTTTACCCCAGAGAATTCAGTACGAGGCATCTATTAGAACAAATTGTGTAATAACAATCAAAACATATACAAAACTGAAACATAATAATATCCATATATTATAAATTTGTTATAAAGATTTTTGACACATATATAAACTGCTATTTGCAATATGACTGCCTTTGCAATATAACTTTGCCTATAACTGTTATATATACAAACAACCATTTATATAGGGTCATATAACCTGTCAAAGATCTTTATAAGTAATGAATTACCCAGAATTTTTGCACAGTTGTAAAATGTCTCTGCTCTGAAGTTCTGATATAATCTGTATAGTTTATGTTGTAACAGTCAAACATTTCCTGAAAAATAAAAGCCAAGACATTTATTTATTTATTGCATTAAACTGTGCAAAATCGGAAAAGTGTTGAATTCCCCCTAAAAATGTGAAAATTTCCACTCAATATTTAGTTTATAATTTACGACCAATTTATTTTAGTTTGATTATGTTGGAAGCGATAATAAGGTTATAGAAACATTCTGGAATATATTCCTGGAACCAATCAGTACTAAACAAGTGAGTTTAAAGTTGCTCCGGCAAGGATTGGTCATACCACTGCTCAATATTTAGGCATAGTTATAGGGCTTTTATGAAAATTAAAATGCATCTATAAAGGAGTTATCATGACTGTGATAAAAGTGAATAATTTAATTACTACAGTTACACACAAATCAGTGTAATCTGACTAGGTTGATTTACATTAAATTTTCATATTGACATACCCAAAATTGATAATGGACTGTCCAAAAACTGGAGGCCAGACAAATCCACTTTAAAAAATTCTGCATGGTTAGGTTTAGATGCAGAAACATGAGTATAATACTAGAATTTAAAGGTAACAGGAACCAAAGATGTACATTAAACTTACCTTATTATCTATAAGAGGGATCACTGGGGGAAAAAAATCTGATTCAATGCTTTAGGTGTCAATACCTGCCATATTATTATTATTTGTTTGTACAATCATTAAGTATTACCTTAAACGTACGAGAAACATTCGTTGTAAATAGTGCTGGAGATTCTTTACTTTGATCAGCGGCTTGTTGTATCTGTTATAAAATAAAAATCAAATCATTTATATATATAATGATAACTAAACAGGTTCTCAATAAGGACCAACCATAGGTTAAAAGTAAACCAGTCAATTAGAAATTTATGCACTTTGGCCCTCAAAATATGATCAAATTTCATGATCAATCTTTTTGACAATTTTACAATATAACCTATCATCTTCAATCCTAATCCACAAATCCATTTTGTATCTCATCTTGAAAAGATTATAGTTACACTATAGTCTCATGATTAAACATCAAACTGTTGTTTTATTTCAGCCATGATGACATTCAGCAAAGCATAAAAGATATAAAAATAACTCTTCAGGGACGGCAAATCAATTGTCAGTATTGCCCAGGTTGTCTTACAAACAAGTGAAATTCTTCCAGATTTTACTTTATAAATATCATAATAGCAAGAACAGAAATGCTGCTGCTTAAAGTTAAACAGACAAGTTAGTCAAAATCCAGTTTTACCGCCACTGTATAAATGCTCATATTACAATGAATAAACAAACCTTTAGGCCATGTTCATCTGTTCCGGTAGAGAACAGAATTTGTTTGCCCTTGAGTCTGTGGTATCTGGCCACAGCGTCTGCTAAAACACAAGTGTATAGATGGCCCATATGTGGTGCTGAAACATATTGTAATAATTTTCTTTCAATGATATCTTATACATGTAGTTATATCTTTTTTATAAATAATACCTTATCTGATATCTCAAGTTGTTGGTTTACATAAATAAACAAAAAATTTGAGCCGTGTCATGACAAAACCAACATAAAGGGTTTGCGACCAGCATGGATCCAGACCAGCCTGCGCATCCGCGCAGTCTGATCAGTATCCATGCTGTTTGCTTACAACTCTATAACAAGTAGAGAAACTGATAGCGAACAGCATGGATCCTGATCAGACTGCGCGGATGCGCAGGCTGGTCTGAATCAATGCTGGTTGCAAACCCATTATGTTGGTTTTGTCGTGACACGGCTCAAAAAAAACTTTAACTGTGTTCAATCACCTGGTTCAATGTTTGTTCCCTCTGACTTTTAATATTATTGTTTTAAAGTACATAATTATATGTTGTAATGCTGACTATTAGCTTCACTTCAATGGAGAATGATATGAAATTTTGCACACAAGTTTAAATATCAAGCTAGGCCTATATCAAAAAGATACAAAAATTTCGAAAAAAATATTTTACTCCTAAGAATAAAAGTTTTTTTTTTTTTATCCCTGTCAAACGGATGTAGACACAAATTAAAGTCCCAAATAATTCAAAATTGACTGTTGAACTCTGACAAATACAATGAAGGCATATCTTGATGCAAACGTAAGACATTTACATAATAGCTGGGAAAGCTTAAAGTTAACACTCCATTAATCACGGCATTATCCTCTAAAGAGTCCACAGCTTAAGCAGGCTGGTGTTATAAATGACTGGCTATAATTTCCTTGATTGTCTAAACGGGGTCTAAACCAGCAATATAGATAAGGTTTATTCCGTTTTATTTAGTGTAATATATACAAGTTTTACTTCTGAAATATACATATACATTACTTACATGTGCATTTTACAGTCCATTTTACAACGATTTAAATTGGCAAATCAAATGATCGAAACTGTAAAAAACATGTATTTTGACAAGAAAATAGAAGCTGTATAATGAACTTTATAAAAGATTTCATGTCAACGCCTCATTTTACCTGCATTTACATAAAATATAGGTGTTGTAACAGAAAATGACTGAGCTTGTCGGTTCTGTGTCCGTGATGAGCATTTTCTGCATCTCTGTGTCCAAACTCCCGTTATGCAAGGACGACTTATAACATTTAAAAGATATTTTGTTCGTGAAATCAATTCATGCTTGTCTAATCTGATTAAAATCATCATTTACAATGAAATGTTTTGCATGCCAGAATCGAAAATGAAAGCGGAAACACAAATAATATTTTCGAACGCAAAGAAATCTTTAAAACGGAAAGGAGAAGGTCGTAAATAGTAGAAAATTCAGATGAGATTCAGACTGCATTAATGCTATACTAGAATATTGTATTGTTTGGAATTTGAAAGTGAACTTTGCAAGAACAAAAGTTGCAATATTTTCTAGGGGCAGGAATCGTATGGAAGATGCAACTCAATTAATGTTCTTTTGATAATGAGAACTTAGAACTAGTACATGATTTTTCTTACTTAGGTAGATCTATTCAATGTATGGAAAAATGGTAAATTTGTTAAAACTAGAAAACGTCTAATTCATCAAGATAAGTAATAGAAAGAGCACCGAAACACGAGGCTATCTGATTTGTACGAGGGGGCGTAGCCCCCGAGTATTAATCAGATTGCCGAGTGTTTTGGTGTTCTTTCTCTTTTGTATCATAGTCAAACATAAAAGCACGTTCCCTGTTGTCACAATATGAAACCCCGGCAAAAATGAACCAATGAACGAACATCTGAATATGACATTTCTGTCGCTTTCCCTTTCTCTGCCGTCACAATATGTAAACCCCAGCAAAAATGAGCCAATCAATGGGCATGCTCTGGAGTGCGGGTAACTAATACCCGCACTCCAGTTAACGCACTGTGCATGTATATGTATACGATTTAACCCTGACACATTTTCAACAGAAAGGTCTCCAAACTATGATACAAGAAAGCCATGTTCTCTCTGATAAAATAGCTAGAAAATTGTTACTATCTGTAGATCTACAGATCCACTAAGTCTTGTTTAACACAATGATTGTTCCTACATGTGCTCTGAAGTTTGGGTAATAGAAAATTTAAAGTGTATTGATCAGTTTCAGCTTAAATTTTACAAAATTATACTTAACCTCAAGCAAAGTGTTCCCAATTGTATGTTATATGGTGAACTTTGGGTTACTCCGATATCTTTGCAAATAAAAAGTAGAATTATCAATTACTGGTGTAAGCTTTGAATGGTATTAAAGATGATAATATTCGTAATGTTTTATATAAGACTGCATACCGAGTATATGTTAGATATAGAACTGAATTACCGTAGCTCTCTTTTGTTAAGGATACTTTGGACGAACTTTGTTTATCAAATCCAAACTTTGAAATTAGTTCATCCAAAGTTGGAACAGTGATGTCCAATCTTTAAGCAAATGTTTTAGCTACCGTTTATATAAATTCGAAGATTATTTTAACATAATTCCTTGGCAACTGTCTTCAGCTTTGTTAAGATTTAGATGTATGAATCATAAAATGCCAATTTAGAAAGGTAGAATCCTAAATATAGAGAGAAATATACGTATATGCTCTTAATGTGAGTCAAATTAACAGGGTCACACATTTCACTATCTCTTTAATTAATTGTTCACATTTTGTTAATAGAAGACGTAAAGTTATAAAACTACGGAAGAGCATTAGTGTCAGGTGTATGTTTTTTATTAACTCGAAATTAACTTACTTATCTCGAAATTTCGAATTACTAACTCGAAATTTCGACTTACTAACTCGAAATTTCGACTTACTAACTCGAAATTTCGACTTACTTATCTCGAAATTTCGACTTAGTTACTCAAAATTTCGACTTAGTAACTCGAAATTTCGACTAACTTATCTCGAAATTTCGACTTAGTAACTCGAAATTTCGACTTACATTGCACGACCTTCATTGGTTGCCGGTGAAAGCAAGGATTGAATTCAAGATATTTTCTTTCGTGTGTAGCTGTTGCACATTGACAGAGCACCTTTAACTTTTATTTAAAAGAACAATTTAATAGGGTCAAATTGTCCACACATACTGAACATATCCTTCGCTTTTTTGTGGAAGGGGGGGGGTTGTAAAATCACACTTTCCACGTTTCCGTGTTAACCGGATGTTTCTTTTTTTCTTAAGCACACATACAACCATCATGTGGAGAAACAACAAGTCCAAAACCCTCCCTATTGTAAACTGTGCAATATCATGTGTTAAATAAGTTTTAAACGGTGTGTATACGCCAGTTAGTCTGTCACGTTTCTTTATACTAACAATGTTTTTGTAACATTATTCATTATTTACTGAGACTTTGATTCATATTGTGTTGATAAAAGTTGATAAAAGTGGAACTTGTTGTTACACATTTGTTGGGAATAATATAAAAGCATCCGATTTTAAAAGAAATATAGGCAGACCAACAATTTTGAGAAAGGCCTCAGCACGCCCTATTTTGGCCACGCCGCGATACTTTCCTCAGATGTCCCACACGTGAAGTATATGCTCGTTTTATTTACAGGGATGAGAAGAATATGATTAGTGAAAAGATATGTTCGGACAGGTGGGATAAATACAACGTCTGAAGAACGCCTGAGCCTTGTGTTTTTTCAGCTCGGGTGTGTACTTGCCATTACTAAGTTTAAATTAAATTTCAATAGTTTCACAGTTAATAACTCGAAATTTCGAGTTAGTATGTCGAAATTTCGAGTTAATATGTCGAAATTTTGGGTTAGTTAGTCGAAATTTCGAGTTAGTAAGTCGAAATTTCGTGTTAGTAACTCGAAATTTCAAGATAAGTAACTCGAAATTTCGAGTTAGTAACTCGAAATTTCGAGTTAACTAAAAAACATACACCTGGAACTAATGCTCTTCCGTATAAAACCGCATTATTATAGGTTTCCTAATGCATTGAAATTTGAAAATCTTATGAATATTAAAAACAAGTCACATTTAAAAAAATCTTGCTTTATTATGTAAAGAAATGATTATAACATGCAAATAATAAGTATAATGTTGTATCATTAGTCTCCTACAAATTTGTTACTGAAGCATAAATTCCAATTATTATTGAAAATCAAGTCATATCTTTATTTTATGGGTACAATATAATTGTCACTCATTCTCCTGTTTTATGAATATTTTTATGTATATTTTCTGCGTTCCGGTTTTCTACATGTTCACAATTTTGTAGTTTATATCACATGTTCTTATGAACAATGACAGTATTGAATAAAAGCTTGAAAATCTTGACCGGCTCTGGGTACATGAAGTCCATTGGTGTTGAGAAGGCTGCAACAAGGTATTGAATAACATATAAAGTAAAACAATACAAACACATAAATCAATCAATATAAACCGTAAACAAACTTGGTGTGTATGGCTCTAATGAAATAATCATTTCTGTGGCATGACATTGGAATATTATTAAATGTTTTGACACCACTCCAAGAAAAATATTTCATCAGTATTTGCTTTGCATCACTTTGAAAATGTTTTATTTTCAGCTGTAAAGTGGTTTTGAATGTTATAAAGACAATTATGAATTTCATTGTGATACAAACAGTGTATACAATATACACAAGTGATGTCAGGTAGAATTGAATACACTTAAAATTACGGATTCGATCACATTAACATCAAATAAATTCTAAATAATTTACACCAATAACCGGGAATATTTCCAAATGTACCAAAATCGATAAAACTTTGACAACAAGTTTAAGAATCTCGGCCATTTTTTATTATGATTATTGTTCACTCTATAAACCAGCTACTTTGATTTTTTTACTTATTTGGCTACAGAGATTAAATATCGGCTAAACTATGTCTTGTCCATGATATGATATAAATAAAATGTGTATGAATTATAATCTTGGCCAGCCCTGATGGTGATTATGAAGGACTCACGGGTGTTGATACAACGTATCCTATATAAAATAGGCTATTTTATTTGTAATCGGTCGCATTTTTTTAATGTTATTTCGAAGTTTTATTGTATTTGGGTGCATAAATCATTTGTGACAAAAACTTCAATATTTGATTTTACATACATATATTTTTGACTTTGCATGTAGATTTATTAATTTCTTAAAAGAATTATAAACAATCTTCAATAAGATTATACTATTCATATTTATATCAAAAAAATTTAATATAAGCCGTTTAGAAAAAAAATCACATTCCAACGTCTACTGTATAGTAGTTCAGTATAGTATTATTATTGACGTTGAAATATGATTTTATATATATATATGAAAGAAAGAAAGTCATGAGCGGGAAATTATACATAGAAAAATCGCTGGGATACATGTGCTGGGATTGACAAATATGCATTTTATTTGGATTTTAAAGGCGTTTTGAGCTCCACACCCCAAGTGTCTGTGGTAAATTAAAGCACGATATTAGGGTATCGCATTGTAACATGGCCAGCGATTGGCTGAAAAAAGTGCAGGGAAAACCGTATGATTCAATTTATACATGAGGTGATTGGATGAAAATGTGGTATTTTTAAGTATAAAAACTAATTTAGAAAGTACATGTAATACTACATTTTATTTTATGCTTTTCAGTGGATTACTGATTTATCCGTGAAAATTATATTTGGTAATTTCACAGTGAAAATTATCAAAATATAATTTCACTATTTTCAATGACGAAACTACTTTTTTAAGATTTTCCCCATGTGGTACCTCAATTTTATTTTTGCTGACAATTCTGACAATGTCAGGCTGTTTAAAGAAAAAGCAAAACTGAAATTGATATATAACTTAAATGTCAAAAGTAATAAAAAGAAGAAAACTTACTTCTATTCATTCAAATTCATGAAATTCCAATCACCAAATTTCGTTTTTTTGTTTCATTTTGACAGTCTCAAAAATACATTCCTTCCCCATGCAAAACTGCTCTTGATGACATTTGGGCATATTAAAGTATCCTACGAGCAATAACTGCCGTATGCTTTATGAAAAATTGAAAGCATTGACAGCTAAACTGGAAGAATAAGTTAAATCAACCCAGCGTTCTTGAGCAGGTTTCCAAGTTTCCCATTTTCCTAGCTCCTTTTCTGAATGTTTTCACATCTGTCAACACTTATTTTTTGTCTGTTACAATCCTCAAATAAGTTTTCTTCCTTTTAAAAATGTGTATGACTAACAAATCCAAATTATATCCCTCTGAATCTTACACAATTATTTTCCTCCCATGAAATACACAACTTTAAAAAATGGCTGCCGCTTACAATTTACAAAGCCAGGTCTAATATAAATTCGCACTAAGTAACAGAAATATGGATGGATGGTTGGACTTTTTCTCCTACAAGAATTGTTTGTTTTTATTATCAAAACAAGCGATCATTCATAATTTTTTAATAAATAAATAAATATCACCGTCATTTAATGTTGATTGGCGGACTTATTTTTCAGCTCAAGACTTCTTTTTTTTAATGAGAAATTCCGAATAAATGGGGCTCTCAATGGGGGAAACAGTTTTAATATTAACGTTAAAATTATGGAAATTTCGTTTTAACTTGTTTTTAAGCATAAAATAAAAAGAAAATTTGTCTGTTTGTTGTGCAAGATGTAATTTTATTTCATCTCGTGAACTTTAAAAACAGTATTCTCACTCGTGGCTTCGCCACTCGTGAGAATACTGTTTTTAAAGCCCACTCGATGAAATAAAATTTCATCTTACACACAAACAAACAAATATCCTCTATGTTTTCTGAAGAAAATGAAATATTTCATGAGTCTTTATGATAATTTTGACTTGGATATTTGCATTTATAAAAAGTGTATGTCAGTCCTGTGATCAGCAGAATATTTCAATGAAATGGGGGGTAATCCTAGATTTGAAGTCATTTTGCAAAAAATTTGGTTGGCCAACCCTATATAACAGGAACATTATTATGTGTCAGGCATTTCATTCTCTTAGAAAAATCACATTTTTAGCACCAAAACTCAATTTTAAGGTAGGATTAGGGACCTTTTCTTATAATGTAAGTCTATGGAAATATCAATGTAAGTGTCTGACCATTAGCTATTTAAACTTATAGTAGGTCAGGGTATCGCATTGTAACACGGTCAGCGATTGGCTGAAAAAAAAAGTGCAGGGAAAACCGTATGATTCAGATTATACATGAGGCGATTGGATGAAAGTGGGGTATTTTTAAGTATAAAAACTAATTTTAAAAGTAACATTACAATGTTTTCTGAAGAAAATGAAATATTTCATGAGTCTCTGTGATAATTTTGACTTGGATATTAGCATTTATAAAAAGTGTATGTCAGTCCTGTAATCAGCAGAAAATTTCAATGAAATGGGGGTAATCCTCTTTGATGTCATTTTGCAAAAAATTTGGTTGGCTACCCCTATATAACAGGAACATTTTTATGTGTCAGGCATTTCATTCTGCTAGAAAAAATACCTCATTAGCATGAAAACTGAATTTTAAGGTAGGATAAGGGACCAGTCTATGGAAATATCAATGTGAGTGTCTGACCAGTAGTGTCATACCTAAGATAAAGGGGAGTTACTCTCTCAGCATATTAACAAATCGCATGGTAAATTTAATTTCTTATTTTTTATATATAAGATTAATTGTTTATTTCTATAAAAGCAAAATAAAAATCATACACTATGACAGATTTTTCCCTGAAAGGGAATTTTTATTTTGTATTCTCGCTGCCTAGTTTTGTCAATTTGTTATATGTTTTCGCGATGTTTATTTTTCATTGTTTTTAGTAATTTTAGCCTTTCCAAGTATTTTCAAGAACCAAGCGTTATCTAGGTAATATTATGAATTACCAAAATGCGCCAAAAAACATCATGGAAGTAATAATGAAATAGTTTAGAGTTGGTTTTATGTTTTGAACAGAGAAAATTTATGTGAACTCATAAAAAACATCCAATGATCCTATCTACTTCTGAGAGTGACAGGTAAATAGTTACTTAATTATGTTATGATTTCTTGTTTTTTAAAGCAGATATATCATGCAGCCGAATAATCACATGCAGCAAAACAACCCATGGGGGTTTCAGGCTCAAAACTGGTCACAGCCAATGACAAGGGGTCCCCCACCCCATCAGCATCAAAGACCAAACATAAACAGGTTTGGATCGCCACCAGGACAGGTAGATGTTGTCTTTTTTATTTATTGCATGTTTGTTTACATTGCAACAGGCTAGCACTAGCAGTGGCTAATCTAATCTGTATTCAAAAGTTTATCAAATTTTGTTTCAATATCATGGTCAATCATTGACAAAAACTCTCAAATAATGTTGTTATCAATTGAAAATGAAATATAAGTATCACTCTATTTTTGCTTATCAGCCATACTGGTTAAGTAAAGTGCTTTACAGATTGGTTCCAAATTTTTAAATGGAAAAATATATTCATACGCTGGCGGTGCATGGGCAAATATTTCTTTCAAAAATATTTTGTTTGAGACTTTTGACTCTTTTAAACGCTTGCATTTGAATAAGCCAATCAGATTTCACGCACTGTGTGACGGCCATTTGTTTATCTGCTGTATAAGGAATTTGATTTCATAAGTGGATTAAATCATAATTTTTCAGATGTGACAGGTATTTATTTTTTACCTTTGTTCATAAATAGGTCAAAATTAATATAAATAAACACTGTCTTAACTCTTAATTGTTTTTCATTCCACCAGATTTTCTTGGGGAACATGCTATGGGTTTTTGAGCAATTTTGATATGAGGCTGCTTTGCCCAGAAGTAAAAATATCTCAAAGCGACGTCATATTTATAGGACTATGGCTAAATTAATCTTTTTCTCAAGCTAATTTTTGTTGCTGCTCAATATTATAGATTACTACTTATCTATATCTAGAACATTGAAATCCTATTCCAAAATGCTTCTGATTTGTCTTTGATCCTTGTCCGCACTAATCTGGCTGAAATTTATCCTGACCACTATCTAAAATGTCAAAATCGTTCCTTTAAAAAATCTCATACCTTTGCTAAACATATTTAAGCTAAAACATTATGTACAACAGAACTTAGCATTGAACACCATGCAAGATATTGCTACATATTGAATTGTAATATTTTTTCATGCTCCCTGTCAAGTCAACCATTTCATCACTTTAGGGCAGTAAAGAGTTAACTCCAAATAATTAATATAAGAAGTTAATCTGTTACTGCACTAAAGTGATGATTTCCTGTTACACATGTAAGTCAGTATATTGAATTTTATCCATGGCATGTTCAGATTTACCCAAAGCATATGAAATTGTCCCTGAAATTTTCAAGTTGAGTATTAGGTAAAAATGAAGTCAAAACTGTGTGATTTCGAATATAGTTTGCAATGACAATGTACATATATACATGTATATATTGTCCCAAAATAGGTCATTCATATTTCCTTGCTGTTGCAGAGACCAAACTTTCAACCAAGGGGATTTAACCAACACATGGGATCTCCCCGTCAAGGAATAGATGTGCAAAGTCCTAGAATGGGGCTTCAACAGCAAGGGATGTCGCCTGGAATGTCACATGGCCAACCACGGTTCCAAAACAACCAGCCTTTTCATGGTAACCAAAGTCAGTTTCAGGGACCTTATCATCAGCAACAAAATATTCAGGGTCCAAGACCCAATCAGCACCCAGGGCAAATGTTCAATAGACCTCCAAACCGACCAATGGCTGGACCACCTCCAGACTTCTTTAGAGCACCAGGGAATCACCAACAGAGGCCACGATTTCAAAAAGGAAGACACCAAGGTGACAAAAAGGTAACATTCAAATTACACAAATCAATATATCATTGATATGCTTTGCACTGAATCACAGTGAATGACAGCTCGACTTTGAAGTACCGATTCGTGAAGCGGTGTATGATGGAACCTTTATGCTTATTGGAGTCTGTTTCCTGTACTAGGTCCATATGAAGAAATTATAGGTTTACAATTTCAGTTTAGACCATTTGTTAAATCCCTGGCAGCAACTGTTTCTATGTATGCATCCACTGCAGACCAAGATCAGCTGGCACTTCCATGCTGTCAGATCTGCTTTGTTTGCTATTCAGTGACTATTTATTTTGAAATTTTCTCTCAAAATGATGAATGGTTGAAATATTGAAAAAAGGGGAATAGTCCATTTGAGATATTTAGTGTTGGCAGAGTTAAGATATGTTTAGGAATTCACTTCACAATAATACAATAATTGGATTCAACTGTGACTCAAATCAGCTCCTTAGCCTTCATTACAAATTTACAATCGAGCTAATATAAATATGTCTTAACAAAAGAGATAAATATTTTTTTAATTTCAGAAGATAGATAAAAGGGATTTACCTGAGAACAACAGATTTTATTGTGACTCGTGTGACAGGGGATATAAAGATGAGGACAAGTATAAACTTCATTTAGATCAACATCAAAAGGTGAGTCTGCCATCAACATTCTTAACACATCTCTTTAAATCAAGTAATTTAGGAACTTGTCCGGTACCCTTGAAATTTTGAATTATGGGTCACAATTTCACAAATAGTTCCTCCTTATTTTAGTGTCCAAAAGAAGGCTGTACATATGTACATCAACTGAAATTTGGAGAAATTTGTAATAACAATGGTGTGATGATTGGATCTTGTATCTTATTAGTCCCCTACCGGTTTAACCGGAGGGGACTTTAGGTTTACCCTCCGTCCGTCTGTCTGTCTGTCCGTCCACAAAACTGGATCCCGCGATAACGCAAAAAGTACTGAAAATATTTTTATGAAACTTGATATATGGATAGATGGCAGTATGGAGATTATGCACGTCTTTTTCTTTTCTTCCTATGTTGAAAATTCTGGTTGCTATGGCAACAAATAGTCTGAAAATATTGCAAATTTAACACATAAACTGGATCCAGTGATAACTCAAAAAGTACTGAAAATATTTTTATGAAACTTAAAATATAGTCCCCTACCGGTTTAACCGGAGGGGACTTTAGGTTTACCGTCCGTCCGTCCGTCTGTCTGTCTGTCAGTCCGTCAGTCCGTCCGTCCACAAAACTGGATCCCGCGATAACGCAAAAAGTACTGAAAATATTTTTATGAAACTTGATATATGGATAGATGGCAGTATGGAGATTATGCACGTCTTTTTCTTTTCTTCCTATGTTGAAAATTCTGGTTGCTATGGCAACAAATAGTCTGAAAATATTGCAAATTTAACACATAAACTGGATCCAGTGATAACTCAAAAAGTACTGAAAATATTTTTATGAAACTTAAAATATGGGTAGATGGCAGTCTGCAGATTATGCACATCTTTTTCTTTTCTTCCTATGTTGAAAATTCTGGTTGCTATGGCAACAAATAGCCTGGATTTCAAGATTTCTGATTTGAATTTTTCAGCTTTTTCACTATAAGTTCTTTATTTCTTAAGGTAATTTCTTCAAACTTCAAATATAAGTTTCTGGGCATCAACCACATCATATGTGACACGGTTTATAACTCTAGCACAACAATTATCAGAATAACCTTCCTTGAACTTAGAAATTTTCATGAAAAAATGTTGTTTTTTTAATAACTGCTTTATTTCTCAATGTATCTACTTCAAACTTCATAATATATGTTTCTTATTATCACTCAACATTTTTGAGAAGGTTAAATACTCTAGCAAGACTATTTCCAGAATTATGTCCCCCTTGAACTTAGATTTTTTCGAGAAATTGGTATTTTTTACTCCAACTTCTTCATTCCTTATAGGATTTACTTTAAAATCCCACATCGTAATAATATGACAAGGTTGTATAAACATAATTTCCTTACTAGGCAGGGAAACTTAACACATTACTGTGAAATAGACAAACTTAGAACTCAAAAGATTTAAGTTCATTCATGTCATTCATTCACTGGTAAAATTGAAATCAGAATGTTGCTGGGGTTCTAACCGGTAGGGGACTTATGAATTGCTTGCAAAAATATGATAATTGCTTGTTTTACACTATCTTGAGTAGATAGGTTTGCTTTCATTTTGGGTGTGCTTAGCCATTATTGCCAAAATTGTTTGGATGTATTAATTGGGAATGTTTTCCACGAGAATTGGAGAAAATGGAATAATCATGAAAAATTTGCTTGTTTATTATTTAGTTTACTGCTTACATACAAAATTTGTAACTGTGCTGTAGTTACATGGGACAGAGGCTGTATTATGAAATCTTGTAAAATTAAGTTACATCAGTGGAGATGTTTCAGTATTTTTGAAATAAGATGGGGGCATTTCTGAAAATACATGTATGATTATATGGGTAGAAGTCTTTGGGATTATTTCCGAAGTTCAGGATTTTCTATTTGGGTTTCATGAGGGGAAGGTTGGTAGGGGGGAGGCCAGGGGACCAGACATAAATGGGTCACAATTTCACAAATAGTTCCTCCTTATTTTAGTGTCCAAAAGAAGGCTGTACATATGTTGCTGCAGGCAAGCTGGTACAGTTACATATTAAACTGGTAAGTCTGTATTCCTGTATTAAACTGATAAATATTTTTAATGCCCTGATGTTTGGACATGATTATATAATAATTTTGTTCTATTTGAATAACATTGGAAAAAAATATATACATGAAGTTTCTTGTTTAGTGTTAACAATGGAATTGATATTCTACCTAATCTTGGCTTTTATTTCTTGAGTAAAGATAAAAAACAACAAAGAAAATATATTTTGTTATGGTTGTGCATGTATTGAAAGGTGGAAAATATGATATTTTATTTACATTTAAGAATTTTAAGTATACGTTTGTTTGAATTTACTATTTGCATATAATTTGTCTTAAGTTTGTTTGTGTGCCTTGCCTAAATTCAGGTTGTAGTACTTGTTGTTGTTTTTTTTCTCAAAAAACAAAAACAAAACAAAAACAAAACAACATATTTGTATTGATTTTAGTATATTATCATTTTTTGGTTGAAACTAGTTCTTTTATATAGCTAGACATATAGGTGGGACAGACTGCACCAAAGTTAAAGCTGGCCTAGCTATATACTTATGGCTATGCTAATCATTTTTAGGTACCATTACCGTATGTTAAAATATGTGATATTGTGGTTGTAATTTTAGCATCATAACACTGGGTTGGCAAAGAAAATATGGTCCCTGGAGTCACAGGAAGATATACAAAAATGGATCGACGAGAGGAAGAAGTATGTACTTTGTATACTGATATAAATACTGATAAATGTAACATATAATTATATAAGGTAGTGATAATTAATGTATAATGATATCAGATAATGACAGATATATTGGTGTTTTTTTAACAAAAGTAAATAATAAGGAGTTATTCTGTAACATTTTGTTTCTATAGCTGTAAAGTAAAGAAAATAATTGTGTAAATGAAAATTTGACATAACACAAGCAAAGGAGTACAAGTTAATGCAAACTGTTCATTATGTTAATAATAATCATACGATTGAATCCTTTCTCGGCAGGAATTTCCCAACTGCAGAAAATATTGAAAAGAAGAAAGCCATACTAGCAGAACGTATAGCCAGAGGGGAAGTTATTGAGGAGAAATATTTTGGGTAAGAAATCATTTATTTGCTTAACTGTTATTTAACATAAATACAAAAAATGATTTGTATCTTAGATTATGAGATATATAATGTATTGTTAACATTAAAATGAATGTATTGCCTGGCTTGGTTAATGCAGTGGTTCAAATAACCTTCTTGCAAACTTGAGACCTACAGATTTTGCTGAACATTACCTTTCATGTTTATTTGTAAGAAGTGAACTTTTATTTTTCATTATTATGTTGGTTTTTGTTTTTAAACAGAAATACTGAAAATTTACAGAAAAAGACCCATCCCCCACTAAAACCTTTTGCCTCCACTCCATATTTTTTATGATGAAAAATGTTTTACAGCAGATATTTATTAACATGAACAGCTTAAGCCAAATTTAATTGTTTCATTATTATAGAATTTTATTTCCCCCTTTTATCATAAATGTTTTATTTTCTCCATCACACTATAAAACATTAATTTCCTACTATTCCTGGTAAAATAAATGATTTTGTATCCTGTAGGAAAATGCACAGAAGAGAGGACAATAAAAGAGGGCGTGGCAGGGGGCGTGGTCGTGATAGAGGGCGTGGCAGAGGTAACAATAGAGGTGATGGCAACCAGCAAAATGATTTGAAAAGGAAACTTAATGGTATGTTCAATATTTTTTTAAACCTCACTGTGGAAATCAAATTTTTATGCCACCGCAGCATCTGCGATGCGGTGGCATATTGCGATCACCTGTGTGTTTGTGTGTGTTCTATAGATTATATAGTGAACTTAAAAATCTTCTTGTGAAAAAGCACTACTCCAATTTCAACCAAACTTGGCAGGATTGATCCTTGGGTGAAGGGCTTCAAAAGTTGGCAACCAAAAGGAATTATAAGAATAAATTAAAAAAATCTTCTTGTAAAGACCCAAAAGGCCTAGAGCTTTGATATTTTGCATAAGGCATTTTCTGGTAGACCTCTACCAAGATTGTTCAAATTTTAGCCCTGGGGTCAAAATTGGCCCCGGCCTGGGGATCATTGATTTTCACTATATGTACATATAGTAAAAACTTAAAATACCTTCTTGTAAAGACCCAAAAGGCCTAGAGCTTAGATATTTTGCATAAGGCATTGTCTGGTAGGCCCTTACCAAGATTGTTCAAATTATAGCCCTGGGGTCAAAATCAGCCCAACCCCGGGGGCCATTGATTTTCACTATATGTACATACAGTAAAAACTTAAAATACCTTATTGTAAAGACCCAAAAGGCCTAGAGCTTAGATATTTTGCATAAGGCATTATCTAGTAGACCTCTACCCAGATTTTTCAAATTATAGCCCTGGGGTCAAAATTGGCCCCGCCCCGGGGGTCATTGGTTTTCCATATATGTATATAGTAAAAACTTAAAGTAAAAACTTTTTTTAAAAATTCTTCTAGCAATTGACAAATGCTAGAGGTTAGATATTTTGCATGAAACATTGTGTAGTGAACCTCTAGCAAGATTGTTCAAATTATAGCCCTTGGGTCAAAATTGCCCCCGCCCCGGGGGTCATTGATTTTCAATATATACATATAGTAAAAAATCAAAAAATCTTATTGTCTGAAGGTAAAGGCTTAAAGCTTTAATATTTGTTAAATGATATCATCTATAGGAACTCTACCAAAGTTGTTCAAATTTGGCCTCTATTGTCAAAATTAGCCTCGCCCTGGGGGCCATAGGTTTTCTTTATATGTATATAGTAAAAACTTAAAAAATCTTTTTCTGTGAATTGACAAAGGGTAGAGGTTAAATATATGGCATGAGACTTTGCGAAGTGAACCTCTACCAAGATTGTTCAAATTATAGCCCTGGGGTCAAAATTGGTTCCGCCCCAGGGGTCATTGATTTTCATTATGTACATATAGTAAAAAAATAAAAAATATTTTTGTCTGAAGGTACAAGGCATAGAGCTTTGATGTTTGCTATGTAATATCATCTATAGGTCCTCTACCAAAGTTGTTCAAATTTTTCCCCTGGTGTGAAAATTGGCCCTGCCTGGGGGCAGTGATTCTCATTATGTACACATAGCAAAAACAGGAAATAAAAAATGGGAGAAAGCTACAGCTGAGATATTTGACTTCAAATGTTGTTTGGTGGACCTGTATCAAGATTGTTTTGAATTAAACCCTTGGGTCAAAATGTTGCCTTGCCCAAGGGGACAGTGACCTACTTTCTTGTCCTTTGATGTACAGCTATGAAATTTGAACCATGTGCACAGATTAAGATGTAAAGTGAACTTTGATATCAGCTGACCTAGATTTTGACTAATTGTGTTGTCCTTTGATGTAGTCATGAAATATAGGCTTTGTGAAATATGACCTTGATCACCAAATTCACTAGACTCAAGTGCATTGATATATTCCTACCCTGATCTTTTATTGGATTAACAATAGATTTAACCACTAATCTGATAATAAGAATTAGATAGGTCAGGGATCTATGCATTATGATAATCATCAATTGTATAGAAACAAAAAAAATCTGTTCCTACACTACTATTTTGTGTTGTATTAATGCGGTGGCAATCCCGACATAAGATATGATAACATAAATGTTATAAATTATCAACATCTTATTAATTGATTTGAAATAAAGGTTGGTAATGCTTTATAAAACAATCACTGATCTTTGTTTGCCTCCAGTTGAGCCAAAATATTTCAATAAAATCAAACTTGAGAAAAATGTACTCAGAATTTAGGAAAAGTGAAAATATTCAAGATTTAAGTAATAATTTACTTGTTATATGCAATTAAGAAATACTGTAAGGGCTATTTTTGCATATTTTAACCTTTTGGTAATTTATGTGGGTTGTAACTGCCATTGATAATTTGTAAATTGCTTCCTTTTGTTAACTTAACAATATTATACTTTTAAATACAATTACATAAAAATTAGCATGAATTTGGAGGTGTGCTGCTTTAAAACAGCGATACAGAAGTTAAGGAATCATGGCTTTCTTAACTGTAAATCTTTGTAATAAGGACTTTTCTTTGGGTCCTTACAAGTTTGGATTAGACAAGTTCCACTGTATTATAATTAAACAGTTCAAACATGAGCGTGTGTTATGTTTGCAGATCCAGACGCAGATGGATGTACTGTACAGAAACAAGCTAAGGAGGGTACTAGTGAAGATAATGTGATGAGGGAAGCTGCTGAGTCATTAAGTATGTTCTTTGCTGCAGATAGCTCCGGTCAGTATCATTATGTCATTATTACCATATTAACCATTAGAAAATTTATTAGTTGCAATTATGAAATATAATTTTCACAGTAACCGAACTATATCAGAATGCAAATGAAAAGAATATAACTTAGATAAGTGGAATTCATCAGAAAGAAACACTGCCATGAGTAAAATGTGCTTAGTTTACTTGCGCATGTCATGTTTCATTGCATCTGGGATGCTGTTGGAATGGCAGCTCTTGTTCTTACTTTTAGAGATTCAGTAGATGTAATGCAGTATATCATTTGAATGTGAATCTAAAGACTTGAAATAATGACTTTGAATGTATTACTCTTGAGGTTTACTGGTATTTATGTTTATTGTCTTCCTTGTCTAGTAATATTGACATTTTTTGACGTTTTTTGTTTCAACAGATTCTGATTCAAGTGATTCAGATGAAGATGACAACAATAAGTCGGTTAAGAAAGTAACAGGAAGTACATCTTCTACCGTACCTGATGTTACAGCTGCAGGTGCTCTCGGTAATCTAATGTCAACGTATGTTGTAAGTGATGAAAGCGGCGATGAGGATGATACAGAAAAACCTGACAATGGTAATTTCTCTGTTTCAATATTTCCTCAAGAGTGCATGGTGCTTGCATAAAATTATTGCTAAATGGAAAAGACTATTCTGAAAATGTAATAATATTTTGCTCAAGAACATTTTATTCTGTTTACGTACAATATTCTTGATTTTTTAATGAACATAGATATTCTATGTTAAAACTCTTTCAAGAATCTGGGCATTTGTGGCCGAATGGTTAAGGGCTTTGACTTAAAACCACTTGCTCCTCACTGCTGTGTGTTCGAATTCCGACAGGGACTTTTGATTCTTTCATGTATGAAAGCTATCCAGCTAGCTTATGGAATGTCAGTGGTTCTACTCCGGTACCTGTTCGTGCAAGAAATAGTGCACAGAAGGACACCTGAGGTCTTCCTCCACCAGTAAATCTGGAACATTGCCATAATTTTGACCTATACTGTATCAGTGTGACGTAAAACCCAATGTACAAAAAAACAAACACATAAAAGAACATTTTATGTTGCAGTTCCTATAAAGAAATCTTCTGCAAATACATCAGAACCTAGTGTTGTCCCCAGTGTATCAAAGGGGGAGCAGAATAACAATGATAATGATAACAAGAAATTCAGACAGAGAAACAGAGGTAGACAGAAGAAAAACAAAGACAAATGGAACCCACCTCCAAAACTTGATAAATCTTTACTGGAAAAGGTGAGCATTATATATTCATATTATATACATGCAATTAGGTAAAAATATGTATCACTGCATAATAGCATTATATAATTAATTATATAGATCATCATAAGTATAACAGGCAACACAGTTGAAATTGATGCATTTATTCAAATGCAGAGCGGACTATATCTTTTCTGAATGAATAAAAAAAAATTTAATATTTGCATATTGATGAAACTGCCCCTTACTGAACATTAAAACATGGAAAAAGTTTTCTGGTTAATTAATTTGATCATCTCATGAAGGCCGAGTGGTTAAGGCCACTGATGCCAATCACATGCCCCTTGAATAATGTACAAGAGAGGCCTCTGTTGTACCAACAATGAAGGTTGAAAAGTTGCGTTTTTAAGAATGTCTTAGACCCTCTTCCTTTACCTCAAAAAAAAAGGAAAAGAGAAAGAAAAAAAAGCTTACTAGGAAAAAGCACAAAAGGCAAAAAATAACTACCCACAATGATCAGATATTTTGTAGTTACATAAAAACATTAATATGACCTTGTATTACAGCAGTTTTGATTTCTATATTTTCAGTTGCTTGCCAAAGAAATCCGCCAGGAGAGAAACAAAATCATGCAATGTGTTCATTATATTGTTAAAAATAACTTTTTTGATAAGCCACAAAATTCAGAAAATAAAACATAATTTTCCAAGAAATTTGTTTTTGTTTTGTTCTGGATTTTGTTTCACTTGAAATATCAGAAAGTTTCCATCTAACACCATACTTACACATAAGGTCAAGCTGACGCATTACACCAACACGAAATACTAGACTGATAAAACACCAAGTAGACATATACCTGGGACAGAAAGATACTTGGTCCCAGCATTTACCAAAACAAAACATTTTAGTATTGTTTTATTCATTGTGCCCCATTTTATACCACAATGTGAACTTTATCTTTAAAATATAACATAACCTTTTAAAGTTTTAATGAATGATAAAGATCGTGTGAAATTTGTGTAGCAAGGGGGACAATTCCTCAGTGCATAAAACAGTAAACTGCTGTGATATGGATGTGGAGTTGTCTCCCTTAGATGCTAAAAAGAAAATAGTCTACAATGGCTTTTCATGTTTATGTTTGTGTTTTATGCTTTATATATATATATATATTTTATGTGTACATGTAAAGATGATACTTAAATAAATAAACCAAAACAAAATAACTAATATATAACTAATATAAAACACTTAATCATGATATAACGTCAAAGTGACTAACAATACAACGCTAGCACACCAGCACCCAGTTGACACATATCACTAAACTTAAATAACACAAAACCCACACAACAGTAACAACACATTGATCAGTAAAAACCTAGCCATGCCAACTTACAATAGCAAACCAACACGACACCAAGCCATCACATAGCGCCAAGCTGGACTGCAAGCAAACCCCAAGGTGCATAATTACAGATATATGTACGAATTGATATAAAATGTCCACAACTTCGATTATGAAAAAAAACCCGCACCATTTTAATTTTTGAGAACACATTTATTTTTTATCGACATATTTAACCACATGGCAATCTACAGAAAATCCTAATTGGTGTTACTAAAAATTTTATTAAAAAATGGCAACCGGCACACGTCAAATTTTGACAATATTATTCTTGTTTTCAATATACTATCGATAAATAACGACCACCTATATATTGTCCAACGACATTGACCTGGCACTCTTGCATTTGACCTTGTAGTCGGTATACCGGTATTCCGTAACTGTCACATCTACTTGTAAATCGATATAAATATCAAATTGTGACAATATTGTAAAATAAAAATCCCTCTTAGCGCAGTTGGTAAAGGTATTTCACTTGAGGAATGTAGACGTTAACTGCATGATAGGTTCGAATTCTATTTCAGCGAATTTTTTTTGTATTTTAATTTTAAAATTGCCATTCTCTTAAAACTATTGCAAACGTTTTTGTTGTGTGTAATATCTGTGTTGTATCTTTATAGCGTGTGTGCGCTAAAGTATATACGATTGCATAATGTCAAAAAGAGAAACGTTGAAAGATACTATAATACAATAAAATATATGACTGTGTATAAAAACACCACTTAAATGTATTCTAAAACCCGATTTCAAATTAATTCTTGCAAGTAAATTAAAAAAAAAAATCATAACATGGCGTTGGTACGGAATCGAACCAGTGACCTTCAGATCATTAGTCCGACATTTATACCAATACACCACGCCTCCCTGACGAGTGAAATTAGCAAATATGTCGATATATTCGATAGATACTGGTCAGTGTTTATTCAAATGACCTTTACGAAAGTTAAAGAGGTGCCAGGTCAATATTGTTGGACAATAACATGATTTACTGAGACTAGTTTGCGGATGTACATCATACATCAACTAGTTCTTACATGGTCAGAGACTTCATGGTATGTTGCATAGAAACAGTAAGCAAATATGACGTAATTTGACGTTCATCTGGGACAGAAAGATAACATATTTTTAGCCCCAGCATTCACTTATTATTTCGAAATATCTCAAAGTTATGCATGTCTCTTAAGTTGAATCAATAAAAATAACAAGTAACATGGAAGGACAGTTTGAATATATATGTACTGTTTACAAATGTCACGTGCGTGACACAAAAGTGAAAAGGACTTTTGCAAGCGACTTCCGAGCGGAGAGACCAGGGTGCCGTTTTATCAACAAAGACGGTCGTAACTGCGATCTTATCTTACGACCGATACTTACGACCGAGCTTCCACATGACCGTTTTATGAACACGGTCGTACGCCCTCAGTCGCAGCTAAGACCAAATCTTAGCTACGACCGGGCGTACGACCGTTGATAAAACGGGACCCAGAACTAGTCTATAGCGGAATTCTGACATCAGTTAAGGATTTATTAGAGACAGGCGATAGTGTGTTAAGTATCGTAGTAAAAGTTCTGGGTTGCGTATCATGAAAAGTTCTAGAAGTCTTAAATATGTCTAAAAACCAAAACTGAGACAGACTATTGTCAAATTCTGAATAGCGATGCAGATGAACATTGTGGGTTGAAGCTCATGCCATTGTATTTTGCACCTCATGTCTTCGCCGCGATAGATTAAAATGTCTATTTGTAAACAGCTATATACATGTATTGAATTTACATGTAAATTTGTAAACGCTTTGAGGACGATTTATTTTTATTTTATAGAAGTATTATGCGAAATTTTGGGATAAATCTCGTAATACATGTATGCACGAAGAATCGCATACTCATAAGGAACACGGGCACTTTGTGACAATCATTTATGCCCGATTGCAATTGAAAAGCTTTCATACAAGACATGATATTCACTAACCTGGTCTTTTACTAAAGGCGGTCTAGTAAATCACTTACCGACCGCTTAACGGGTCTACAAATATATACCGATCTGTTATTGTTCTTTTATTTACTAATTGAAAACTCTGGGTGATGTTTTTGTGTGGTGAACGACGTGAGAAGAAATAATGAACAGTACTTTTAAAAGAAATTTGCAGACGACAAAATTTTGTCATATAGATCTATACTGTACAAAAAAGAAATTCCCGTGTATGTAAGTGCAGATATACGCAAAATATGAAAATCAGGATTGAAGTAAATATTTTACGTATTGAAAGAGTATTTTATTGCGATTGTTTGTGAATAAAATATTGCTGAGGGTTTATCCAAAAGTAGTGAAATGGTAGGTAAAATGCAAAAGGGGTCGCCCAACAAAATCACAAATAAAAATCGGTATATGGAAGATCTGCCTGGCATCGTTTGCGCACAGAACGGATAAGCGTATTGATTTTGGCTTGTGGAATGTTGTTCCATTCCTGAATTAAGGCTTGACTAAGCTAAATGACGTTTGACGGTGGAATAGGGCGACGTCTAACACGCTGGTCCAAATTATCCCAAATGTGTTCAATGAGGTCTAGATCAGTGCTTTTGGCATTATTTGAAACAGAGCCCAATTAAAACGATATACATGCGCATGGCGACGTCGCCTCAAAACACAACCAACGTATGGTCGACGTCTGTGTCCACGTCGGACGTCCACTACGTGATCGATCTTCTGTATGTCCTGTTGCTTGAAAACGTTGCCAATAGGGTCGAATAGCACGAGTAGAACATCCAATATTCATAGCGAAGGTACTCATCGTCATTTCAACATTAAGCATGCCAGTCGCACATTCGTGTAGATTGTACAGAATTCTAGGCATATCAAAAATAAAGAAAAACTGAAGAAAACAATTTCAACGTCTTTTTCTTTGTGACATTAAAGTCTATAAAATTACAATGAAAGCTTTCATAAAAAAAATACACGAATCTACTGGTCCCTGCATGCCCGTGAAAATCGTGGTCAGCTGGATTCTCCTGCAAATCAAGTAAATATTTGTTTTATCGGAAGCATACTCGAGTGCCTGACTTGACATTTTGATTTTTATAGGGGGGAGTTTCTTTTTTTTCCCCGTATAATATTCTCGAGTGCAAGCAAGAGATACTGTTAACGAACTGGCTAAATATTCGGGTCAATCTCGTTATATTTTTCTTTTTATTCTTTTGTATGTTAATAATTATTATTAATCAACATTATTCATCATTAGTCAGCATAAGTGATAATCATCATTAGCTATATGATATACTCGTATCCCATTCCATATCATTATCATTACTAGAAACATCATTATTCACCGGTAATATAATCGTATATACAATGTACAGTTGTATCTGTCATAATGAATACATAAGGACGCGCCTTCTTCGAAGAAGTGATAGATCAAATATTCAAATGAATTCCTTTTTGATGTCGTGATAATCACTTAACAATTCGTAGTTCGTATCGTATATGATTCAATATTTGTGACAACTTTCTGATAAGATTAACATATCAACATCAGAATCCTGTTAGAGTTATGTGTTATTATATACCCAGGTCAGTTCAGTAAACAAAGTGTAGCTATACTGGTATGTATATGGATATTTGATTCCTTCATATGCATTTGTGAGAACTTGTCCTAACCAAAGCCAATGGAAGTCGCCCAACAAATAAGGTAGGGACAACGAGGAAAGAACACAGAAATTGGCGGCTTGACAGACCGGCTCTTTGCTTCGGGGCTATTTTCATCTCATATTGTCTCAGGTTCTACTGTACATTTAGGTTCTCATTGGCCGCCGTAGAGTAGCCTATTTTTGGCTCCACTGAGTGCTTGAAAATTAACTCTTTCACCCTTTACCTCATATGAACGCGAAACAACGCACTTTCGAGACCCCCCCCCCCATTTCTAGGCCTCAAATAGTGAAAAAATGCCTTATTTAGGCCCCAAAGACTGTTTTTCGTTTGAGAAATGTTGTTTAAAAAGTGACCACTTTTTCGGCGCGGCCCCCATCAAAAAGATACATCAGGGGGTTGCCAGAAGGGGGATGTGCCCCTTTTGTTTGGGGGTTTGACGGGGGCGGCAGTCCCCCTGATCGCCAAGAAAATTTTGGACTTGTGAGAGGCGAAAAATGACCCCAGATAGATCATAAGGTAACGTGTAACCAACGCTGAAAAGCATTAGACTCTATCTCAATCCATTGAGAAGTTGCAGCACTTTGAAATCAATTTTGATAGAAAAAATCAACGCAAAATTGTGATTTTTGGCAATTTTGAGATGTCCCCTCGTTGCCATGGTAACAGGAAATTTAAGCCTGAGCATGTTGTTACAAAGGCAATGGTCCAGTCAACATTTGTGCCAAGTTTGATTAGTATTGAAACAGTTTTTATAGTTTTATAGCAATTTGAACTTGTAACGAGAGACTTTTCAAGGAAAACAATCATTTTTCACAAAATGCTCATGAAGTAATGGGTTAATGAAAAAAATCAAAAAATCTACAAAACAACAATTTTTCTTCAAATTTATATCTTAGGCCGTGTTAAACATGGAAAAATGACCACAAATCAATCATAAGGTAACGTGTAACAAACACTGAAAAGCATTAGACTCTATCTCAATCCATTGAGAAGTTGCAGCACTTTGAAATCAATTTTGATGGAAAAAATCAACGCAAAATTGTGATTTTTGGCAATTGTGATTAGTATTGAAGCAGTTTTTATAGTTTTATAGCAATTTGAACTTGTAACGAGAGACTTTTCAAGGAAAATAGCCATTTTTCACAAAATGCTCATGAAGTAATGGGTAAAGGGCGTGACATGTCCGGGGTCCGTACTCTACAGTAAAGCTAGCTACTTTTTGTGCCTGATGGACCCTCATTAAGCATAGACTACATACATACATGCCTAGGAGTCTCTTTCTTCCCTTTGGTACGTGTACGTCGTCATCATCATCATCATCATCATTATCATCATCATCATTACTATCATAACCATTATATTTGCAAATGTGATCATCTTTTTAATCATAATTATAACTTTTTTCATTATCTTTGTCATTGGCATCGCCATCATCATCATGACTATTATCATCGTCTTCGTTATCATCGTAACAATAATAATCTCCATTATCATGATAGTTATCATCATTATCAGCATCCGTATTGATAACATCATGACTCATATTATTGTAATCATGCATCCATATCATACCTCTGAACTTAACATCTGTCTGATTTCTATCGAAGCTTATAGGTGCCATTCTAAAGTTTAATTTTATATTATTGTTCACATTTTAATCTGTAAAATGTACACTTGAAACGATAAACTTGTATGAACTGTACACTTTAAACGGTTATACTGTAAAATTAACACTTTATACTTTATTTGAAGTCATTTTCTGTGTGCATCACAACAATTTTTATACTTTGTCAGCATTAAAGGGAGAAAATCGTTGTTCCCTATCTGAATGATCAGGGGAAGTAATTAAGTAGCGTTCAGATATACGCCGTTCGTTTGTACATGTATCATCATAGATAAGATGTTGTTAGACAACGAAAATAAATCAAAACAATATCTTTTATTTTCTAATTTGTGAAAAAAATTTAAATATCACAGTAAATGACTATCACAAAGATATGGTAAAATGCATTGTGGTTCAAAATAAATTGAAAGTAATAAATGCTGATATCACCATGGAAACATGTACTATAAATTAGTACTGCTCCGAAATCCGAAAATTGTAAAACTATAAAGTTTTCTTTTTTTGAAAGGTACATGTATAAAAAAATCAGTTGAAATTAATTCTAATCTGAAATGTTAAAATCACAATAAGCTTGAGATCGTCTTAACGCCATTTTAGAATAAATAGAAGATCTATCTCATGTTCGAACATGTGCAGGCTTTCCTTGTTTCCCATGCAGTGCCTTTAAACCACCAAGTCCGTGACCCATGTGTCCTAATTTATCATTAGGACCTAAACTTCTATTTTCTATTTTTAGTTGTTGCGTATGCAAGGCCTGTGGCATAGCAACATTCGGAGACGACCACATTCCTTTTTGGTAGACGTTTGGTTTTGCTTTCGAGCGTTTTGGCGATTGCGCTTGTGGTTTGCGCATTTCAGACGCTTGGTAAAGAACTTTCCCGCCAAGAGGGGGAATTAGTGTATTTCTCCTACTTTTGGTTTCAAGGTTATCAAGCTGACTGTCTTCATCATCTGTATGTAGTGCAGGAGTGAATCTATTATGGTCTGGGCTTATTAAGTCCTTGTGCACGTGGCTGTGAGTAGATGAATGGTTATAACTTCTTGCTGTAGCTGACTCTAATTCGGCAATCCTTGCTTTTAATTTAGCTACTTCACCCTCGTAATGTTTAATTCTAGTGTCTTTCACTCTGTTGTCATGTTTCACATCACTTAATTGTTTCCTCATAACAGACATCATGGCGTTTTGCCAAACCGTCCCTGCTTGTTTAACCTTTCTTTGGGTTACATTGGTTTCCACTTCTTTGTGTAAATTTTCTATAGTTTCTTGCTGGCCTTCTATGATATTATTGTGTTTCTGAAGTTGTTCCTTCATTGTCATCATGTCTTCGTCCGTCTTCACAGCAAAATCTCTGTACGCGTTCAGTAAGCTTTTATCTTGCTCCTTAGAGTGTCCAAGATGAGCAAGGATGTAATTCCTTTCATGCAGCATTTTTTCATATTGTTTCTCAGTCTCCTGTAGCTTATTTATTTTTTCTGTCAATTTCTTGAAATTTTCTTCCAGAAAACAGAATTTAAATTCCATTAGTGCCATTTGATCACGTTCAGAATTTCTTTGTGGTATATGCACCAAATCCTTAATACTTGCATCAATGTTTTCTAATACTTTTTCGCTTTGTTCATGCTTTTCCTGTAACTTCCTCATCGCGTTCTCGTTGGCATTATTGTACTTCAACTGTACTCCAAAGTCAGACTGAAATTTATCTTCCGTTTCTTTCAACTTTGAGCCAATGAAACCTAACTGAGATTTGAGCTCTATAACTTCATCACGTGACTGTGAAAGCTTTTTCTGTAACTCGGTAATTTCTTCATTTTTTCGTTTTTCTTTGTCTTCATATGCAAAGGCGTCCTCTAACTGTTTTTGTTTGGCTTCTATAGCTTTGTCTTTTTCCTTAGCAATTGCTTCCTTGCTCCAGAGACCTTTCAGGTTCGATTCTTTCACCTGTAAACAGGTAGAATGTTGTACGATAATTTGAAATGATTACATGTTGCAGGTTTTAACTTCATCAATATAAATTATTTTACGATTAAACTTAAATAGGTATTCAGTAAACCCCGCTTATATTGATATGCAGAAGACTTAAAAACATTATCGATACATTGCTTTGTTTTTCTTCTTTAGAGTTCTTTAGAAGTCTATTATCTTTTTCAAAAAGCATTAACTATCAACTGTTGGTTCGAATCCCAACAGATACTCTGAAACCTTTCATTTGTGGAACCTATCGAGCTAGCTCTTGGAAGGTCGGTAGTTCACATTAAAAATATTGGACGCGAGGAGTGGCACCTAAAGTCTTTCATTCATGCTGAGTGGGAAAGTCACCATTTCATGGTTAATTTATACTTTACCTTCTCGTTAATAAAATACTCGAGGGTCCGCTTGTCGGCCTCTTTAAGTTGTTTTTCCAGTGAAGGAATTCTTTTATACAATTCTTTGAGGTCGGATACATCTGTGTTTGAATTTTCTGAAAATATTTAGGCAAATAAGTATTTCAGACGTTTGTTCAGAAGTAATATCATCGATGAATGAGTTCGAATACATTTACATTACTAGTTGTAATGATACTTATAAAAACAACAACTTTATATCGAATTTTTAATACTGAATTTTTTTTAAAACGAAACAATGATATTAATTTATAACTTTACAGCAGCTGTATATATAATAGTTTATATAAACGTTATGATTACCCAATGAAAAACAATGTAACAAACGTGCAGTACGAGTATTATAAATATCTTTGGTTTGTACATGTTGTAAGAGTCCAGTTTTGTTTTAAACTTTACTCTGTTAGTTTCAAAATCGTAAATATCACGAAATCCATTCAAATGACTTGATATTCATTTCTCTTGAAACATTTCTTTAAAAGTCATACGAACATAATATACTTATATGTTTGGTAGGGAAAAGTAATTGAGAAATGAAAATGGTCGTATTTCAGAGACTTAATGGACCTTTCATGCTATTTTCAATGATTAAATGAATAGGAAATATATACTCTTATAGTTGTTTTGATTGAAAATAAATTGGAAAATAAGTAAACACATACCTTCATCCTTGAGGAAATCTGCAATGAATGGATGTCCATTTAAGAGAAGAAATTCGCAGAACTTTTCAAATACACCAGATCCTTTTAGAGGAAGAATGTCCAGTAACTTAGAGAGAATCTTTCTACTGTCATTTCCGCCTTTAATATTCTGTAAAGAAACGGAAAGTTACATAATGTTATAATGATTTTATATTCTGTAAATAAACGGAAAGTTACATACAGTGATAATGATTTTTATATTCTGTGTTTGATACAGTTTTATAATGAATTTCAGGAAACTTTTTTTTGTCTTAATGGCGAAATTTACAAACATTATTACTCGTATATATTTCAGTAAAAATCTACGTTTGCGGAAAGGAAACATTATTTACTGATATATGTAGAAAGATTTCTTTTTATAAGACGTTCTTTACAAAGGATTGAGACCATTCTATTTTATTTAAGAATATAATTTCTAAATCCATATGTTAGTTGTATGTTTATCAATATGGACAGTTGCTTAGTTAAAACATATTTATCTAAGATCGGTTGCAAAACTAGTTATTTCGAGTCCGTTTCCTTGAACAAACGGTACTGTTGTCATTATGCAGAAACACGGTCGTGACCCGAGGACGGCTCGAAACCATAGTTCTTTGGTTGAAGGCAGACACCTTTACCACTAGACCACAGCTCACCGTCTATACATGTAGACAATAGAACTGTTTTCTTTCTATGGAAAGGGGTACGACAGTTTCAAGTTTCAAAGCGTGATGAACGGTTTATTCAGGACAAACTTATTTCATAACAAAGTTTTAAGTTATGTTCTATAGATAAATATGTATTTAAAATACAACGCTGTTTTGAAAATAATTTTAAGTTGACTCGTGAAATAGTCTTTAAACTTTTCACAACAAACTTGTAAGATATTTGATATAGATAAAACTGTATAAAGATATTTACAAACACATTTTTCATTATGTTTTATAGTTTTTTCGTGAAACTGTCTTTTGTGAAGCTATTGTAAAAATTGACCTACATTGACAACAACCTTCCATATTCAATGCGAATAAAAGGCGAGATGAACTTTTTTATGTTTTAATACTCAAGACTGATTTTCATATTAAAATGTTTTAAACTCCATACGACCTGCATGGTATTCTAATACATTATATAAAAACTTTTATTTGAGATCGAATTTTGTCTTAACCGATTATATTGTGACGTCAACGTCCGGATATTACTCTGTGACAACCTGCTGTGAACGCAGCCGACATCTGCGGGATAGCGGCACGAAAATCTTGTTTAAAAACTAATACGACTATGCACGCGCGTATAATGAAATTCATTAATCAAATCAAATTATGAATTCTAAATCCCATAACAGGTCGTCCTGGAGATTATCTTTAAGACCGAATTGATTTCAAAATTAAAATATAACATTCAACCATAAGGTAATAAAAACTGCGCTACCTTTCATTCTCACAATGGATTTAATACTTTAAATTAACGAATTGATCTCTTTATAAAGAAACCGTAAAGGGGCAGATAGTTCTAAAGTTACGTCATTTATCACGACTATAATAGTATTAATAACGATAACCTTGTCCTGGTCTTTATTTAGTGACAACACTTATTTATTTTACGACAGTAAAATTAATACATTCCATCGACAAAAGATTAAAGGCACATTATGCCTCAAAAAACTTATAATTTTTATTTCTTTAGAAGGGCAAAAACTAGTTATGTATTGTTTAAATAATGGTTTTAGAGCATGTTCGATGTATTTTATCAGAAAAATAGTATTTAATGTGATTTTGTCATAATTTTTTTTTGTTAAGTGTTTGAAATTATGTTTTTTTTTCCGATAGGATTGCAATATTTCAAATGAATCGTAACACGTTTACTTTGGTAAATCGGCTGTTAATAAAAAGATATAATTTGAAATACTAAGCTGGTTAAAATTTATTAGTACGTAAACACTTTCATACAAAATACAAACTCTCTACACTTGTATAACTTTACTTATTGCCAAAAAGAAACAGAACCAAAAAGATGGTTCAGGTCACAGCTGGCGAATGAGAATTTTTTTGGAAAATGTAAAAATACACCAAAAATAAAAGTTGTTGTGAACTTAAAATTGTGGCATTTCTGGTGCATAACGGTCCTTTAATGTATTCAGAAAGACACCATTCGTCACCAAATACTGGTTATGATAATTATATAATAATTTAGTTATATAATTTTAAAGTTTGTAAAAAAAGAGAATATGAAATCTTTTAAATGTATTGCAATGCATATGATTAATTTTGTTGATGAATAAAGTTGTCTATGGTATATTTTAGATGCATATTTCTTTTCAATCCAAATGTACGGAGGGTCTGTAGACGAAATCTTAATGAAGTATTAATGATGCACCGTTTTATCTTGTTCTAAAGAAGTGACATGCCAAAATATTTTAAATTGACATTTTTAATGATGCACAATTTACAATAATATTAAGAACGTTTTAAGAACGTGATAAGCTGTTAGGAATCCGGTTTACATTAATAATTTTGGGGTAATGATTTATGAGTGTCTTCCTATTAAAATATTTGAAATAGTCATTTCTAATACATTTTACATTATTTGTGTTTTTGATAACCAATATATTCATTTACATATTTTTAAAAGTTGTAGATACTGGCGTTGTTATGGAATGTTATCTTTGCGAAGTTTGAAACACACGCATGTCATTCACTTTCCTTTTGACTCAAATAAACATGGTTATCAAAGTATTACTAAGTATTATCTACCGCTGACAAGACAGTAAAGTTCGAAATCAATTTTGTTTGAATGAAAGTTTTAAAAAAAATGAACATGTAACAAAATTTAGGAAAAGGTGATAATTAGATGAACCAAATACATGTATTTAACAGTTTTCACATTTTAATATTTATTTCTCTCAGTACATGGAGACTTGTAAATATGAGGAATTTGTAATAAATACTTTATATATATAAACGGGAGTGGTGTGTCCGGACACGGTATCTGTTATTTGATGGAGGTACCTTGGGTATAAACCCTAGTTGGGGCACGACAACTTTTCCACAGTACATAAAAGTTAAAGAATATATTCTCTATAAGACAATCAACACGGCAATAAATTTTTTAATCAGTATCATATATATTAACCGGAAATTGATACTTCGAGCGTGTATTAAATGCTTCATAGATCTATAAGAGTAACTGAAGGATCAATTTGAAATCTAAGTTAGATTTAATGATTTCTCGTATTATCTAAACATAAATACACAACAGCTCTTATGAATGCAAATATTACATTGAATGAATAAACATTCTGTTATTATTGAAAAAACAATAATATTTTATTTCGCCAGGGAATGTTGTCAAAATCTAATAATGCGAACTTTTAAGAGGTTTTATAAAAATTCAATTACCCTTAATCAAGGCTATTGTGGTGGGTCGACAGCTTTTTGTAGAGAATCGATCTATAAACTTTCACTTATCGGAGATAAATCACAACGTGCCATTTCGTACATTAAATCTTTATCAAAATTTTAAAGCGAAATGGTGCCATTTTATTTTTATAAATGCGATTTCTTGTCAACAATTAATTTTCCTTTCAGCAACAAACAATATGTAGATGAATCAAGGGATAGTGCTCTTGTCAGTACAGGCCGTTTGTTTAATGATTGAGGTTCGAATATTTTAACACCTAATCATAAATGCTTCGCCACTTTTTTTCTTTTATTTCTTTCCCACAATTAACGTTTACAGTCGATATTAAAATCCATGCTGCCAATATTTGTTCAATATATTCTATTCAATCGGTCTACTGTATGATTTCCTCTAATTAATAGCGGTCACTGTTGCGTGGAAAGTTAACAAGATTTCTATATTTAGACCGAAATCCGGTATTTTTGTTAGAATAAAGCAAGTCACTTACAGCTAGCTAAAGCAGTTCTTAAATAAATTGTCACGCAAACAACAATTTGTATTCTTCCACAAACTTGTAAAAATGCGCGCACGTGCATTCAGCGGTGCGTTGCGTGCATGACCTCTTTAATTGGTGCGAATAAAAATAGGTCATTTGTATTCTTTTAGTTCTATGACGACACAAATCATGCTCTTGACGTAATGTTTACTTCTTTACCTACCTAAATATTACCTTGTATGGCAATAAAACTTCTGACCTTATCCTCTTATATTTTACACAGTTGATGCATGTCTCTTGATCAATTTTAACACGACCATCTTGGTTATTGTATATTTTATGTAGATCTATATGTTTATACATGCAATTTTATACTTTCATACTTAATCCACTAAAAACTAAGAAATAAATCGTTTTCGTTTCCACTGGTAAAATTTAGCGACATAAAAAAGTAAAAAATCGCAAGGAGATTAAAAGTTTGTTTAATTTCAGGGAGAAAAAACACTAAATGCTTCTTTTAACATCTTGCTTATTATCCCCCCCCCCCTTGAAAAGTTTGGATTTAATTGCGATGTGTGCAATAAATTGCTAGTCCTAAGGAGGCACCCCTTTTGAGGAAAAGATAAAAATATCATGAATCTATGTCAAAAATTTATATTCGGTAGTATAATTTAGGCTTGAAAACTCCACTTATATCGAACACAAATAAGCTTCGCCTTTTTTATATAAACAATAATTGAAAATCATTTAAACCTTATGAAGTGCAACTGTATGTTTATAATTCGGCTTAAAGTGAAGGACTCTTTCAAGTTTAAGTTGCTTAAAAATTTGCGAAATGGAAATGTTTATATATTAACTACTTGTTAGATTGAAGTTATCAAATAGGTTATGGAACATAGTTATTTCTGATTTAAAAACAACGAATTATAAAAAACTAATAAGGGATCAGATATCTTAACATTGCTGATAGGAAATAAAGACTTGATTAAAACAAACTCCCCGCCCATAGCACAGGGGGCTCACACAGTGTTTGGATGGTATATACTGCTTGATAGTGACCTTAAAATGAGATTTTAGTCATAACCTTATAATTTATATACATATTATAAGGTTATGACTAAAATCTCATTTTAAGGTCACTATCAAGCAGTATATACCATCCAAACACTGTGTGGGCCCCCTGTGGCCCATAGTGTATAGCGTTACAGTATATAAATAACACATGGGTTTGTGGGTAACAGTAAAAATATCATCCCGAGGAAAATACTGTTACCCGAGGCGTAGCCGAGGGTAACAGTATTTATACGAGGGATGATATTTTTACTGTTACCCACAAACCCATGTGTTATTTATTTTATTACCCCGAACAAATACTGTGATGATCTGAATTTGACAACTAAATCTAACTGTAACAAAAATAAGCCACGAGAAGCAATAACTAAACTGCCCTTACCTTGCAAGTTTTAAGTGCACTGTAGGCCTACTTGAGAAGCTGTTTTTCTTTTATTCTTTAGGCAAGTGATGATATCTACCAGTCATAAACATAAAATAAGCTGTGTTTTATTCAGAAAACAAAACACTAACCCATTTATAAGGTTATGATCTGTGAAATCTGATCCTTCTGCATCCAGAATATTCTTCGCATGGTTTTTGACAAAGTGCATTTAGAAAATAACGATGATATCCTACAGATGTCTGTCCACCAACTCTATCTGTAACGTTTCACTGGTTAAAATTGTTAAATTATCCTTTGTTGCATGCTTTAATTGTCTGCATGTTCCAGTTTGACACAAAATTATTTACATTACAATTACTTCCGTTGAAAACGGATGTTTCCTGTTGACTATTCAACAAAAAGATATTTAATACGCGAAAGGGACTCTAGGGTGCAAAGAACTAAATTTTATCAGAGTAATAGTTACTTCGGCGATGCCCTATCGTCGAAAATAAGAATGAATCGAGAAAAAAATGGCGGCCATTTTATTTCATTTTATTTAGAAAAAAGACCACGTGACCAGATTTTATACTGTTAAAAAATACTGTTACCTATGTAACAGTACAAAATTCGTAGTCACGTGGTACACTTGCATTAACAGTAAGAATAACTCCCAGAGGCCTATGGGAAATTAGCATTACGAAAAAAGTGAGGGGTAATAATATAAGCTAATTGAAAATCAAATTCATAAATCTCTCGGAGCATATTTTACCAAATCAATACAAAAACAGCGTTTTAATTTTGTTTCCTTGTGTTCAAAACCTTTCTTTCTGGAGTGCGAAAAAGGTTCGATTTTTTTTATAAATTAGCAAGATTGCGTCTCAATTCCCTTCTAAATTTATTTCCATTAGATGGAACGCGGACATTTTCTTTCATTCTTTAAAATAACAAGTTTGCATGTCAAAGATCTACTGTGCCATTGTTTCAGTCAAATGACATGAGTTTTAGTTATAAGAAGGAATCTGTTTAATTTCATATTACCGTTTAAAATCGAATGTATAGGTGTCATGAGTGTGATCAATTATAAAATATTTGAGCCGTGTCACGACAAAACCAACATAATGGGTTTGCGACCAGCATGGATCCAGACCAGCCTGCGCATCCGCGCAGTCTGGTCAGGATCCATGCTGTTCGCTTACAGACCCTATAACAAGTAAAGAAACTGATAGCGAACAGCATGGATCCTGATCAGATTGCGCGGATGCTGGTCGCAAACCCATTATGTTGGTTTTGTCGTGACACGGCTCATTTGATTGTAAGGTTATGTCAATTTATATTTTCTTGGTTTTACAATTTGTATGGATTGTAATGGAATCTTACTTTTTAAAGGCACTCCTATGAATAATGACACTAACTGGAGTTGTTTTAATACACGTACATAACAAATGTAGGTTTAGCCGAAAATTTTAATTTCATCTTAGCTTATTTCATTTTATTTAGCTCATCATAGTCATATACTAACTATAAAACCTATTTTATAATCCGCAACAAAATATAAGACTACATACATACAGACACACCTATCAACAAATGACTGTTTGCTATTTCTATCAGAGCAGCATATCAAAAGAACGCTTGACACAATGTCCATTTATTATCATATACATATAAATACATGTTTGACGGTATTTCTTTTTTCTTATGTTGACACTTTAAAGAGGAAAATGGTCAAATGTGGTTGATTCAAACACTAACTGTAAGTAATATTTAAATGAATGTATTGTACTTATTACAAGTTTTTTTATTGTTCATTTACAAAAAAAAATCCACACGATTTGATGGCTGATGATTGTCTTACGTATATATCGGCACGCATGATCAACTATTTCATTTATAACTCCAACAATTAAATCATGCAGTTTTGTTGACGTACATGTAATATAACCTATCATTATTTGTACAGTATATACAATTGCCTTGTATTTAAAACACACATGAATTGCCTTTAATTCAGTCGCCCAAAATTACTTTGTGGTTTCGGTAATTTAATTTTCATTTCTTAACGGTAATATTTTCTCATTGCAATTTGAACTTTGTGGTTACTTGTTAAGCCTTTTTGCATGAAAGGTTAATTGCCCCTTCAATGTAATTATTACGCCGATTAAGCGATTTGGTTACATTTGTGAATATTTTAATCTTAATACGCTTATGTTGCAACAAATTACCGCCGGCTTGTCTGGGAGATCATATATGAGTGCGTACCGATTTTATTTCGTAACAGTGGGCATTTATATACCTTTTAATTACTTATTGAATACTATTAATGCTGAATAGTACAGACAATGCTACGTAATGGGTTTAGAAATTGTGCATATTTTTAGTACAATACATAGATATTGAAAAACATGTATATACACTAAATTTACATAGTCATCGACACATTTTAGAAAGGTTCGAATTATCTGAATTGATTTGTATTTTGACCACTTCAATTCCTGTTGAGTAAGCAGATTGGTTCCATGTGGTAATTTATTTTGATTCAAAGCAAGCTGAAGGTAACTGATTCTACCAATGCGACCAGTGCAGACCAAGATCCACCGGTGCATCCATGCCGGCCGTCTGATATTGGTCGGCATTTTGCGTTATTCATTCAGTATATATTCTGAAATTGTCACTATTTTCCCTAAAAATGATTAATGGACAAGTCTATTTAAGATATTATGAGTAGTAATTGCTTATTGTGTCTATTTGACGCTATTGTGAAATGAGTTAGTCAAGCAGCCATTACATCTAAGTCCACTCAATTTTATTTTTATTCGGAAGTTAGGGCTGTCCAGACTGCTTTGCCAACTGATCTAAACAAAGCTTTAAAACTATATAAATGGAAGATTGTTACGCGCATTCCGTACACTTTAACAAGCTTAAGAAATTACCATTATGTTTGCCCGAATGCGAAATGGCTTATTCCGTTGAAGCGTATATGATTCAAACTTAGCAACATACACTACCAAAACAATGGATGCGGTCATTTTGAATTGTGGCTAATTATTTTTATAACACTGCACGTTTGTAACATCGGTTTTTATTGGATAATATCGAGGTTCATATTACCCATATACACTGCTTTTGTAAACTTATGAATGAAGTTCGTCTCACCTTGATCTTGGGATACAATATTAATGTTAAGATAACAGGCATAATAAGAATGTATGAAAAAGTCCTGTATTTAAGAATGTATGAAAAAGTCCTGTATTTAAGAATGTATGAAAAAGTTCTTTATTAAGATCGACATTAAGTGATCAATCATTAAAAGTCGGAAGGTTTTGCTCATTATTGAACAGTCGTCTGTAACTTGAGACATTTGCTGTCATTATATATACTGCAGAAACTTAACAGCAATGGATTATCAATTTAGAAAAAAGCCCAGTGACATAATTTCATCAAAACCTTTGCAAGACTTAAATATTCTTGAATCAATAAGTGACATTGATGCTAAATCAATGTTATAACGATGTATTTAAAGTCATAAAGCTTGCTCGTATTGTAGACAATCGTTATGCGTCTGACACACAATATGTGCTAACATAATTAACTCTGAGAATCATTTCATATGCATAGTTTCGTATTATAGACAATCGACATTTCTCGGCCATTTCCGTCATTCTTCGGTAAAGAACTGTGTGTTCCGAATGGTATTGTAAGAAGTGGTCAGAACATACTAGTATATAGATTGTGTATACATTTGTACTAATATTTTGTATGGTATCTGGACAGTGCTCCTATTCTTTCGTTATTTTGTGAATTTACATTTCATACATACGTGAAATTTATACATTAATGTTTAAATATAATTGTAGATCTATAGATATACACATTTTAATATCAGTATATTTTCAGGCCCAAAAGGCCATTAAATGTATGTTTTATTCAGACAACTAAAAATCTTTTCATATGGTTATTAACATACATTTCCGATAAAAAAAGGCGTTTAGTCTCGTTTTATTTTGAATTATAATACTTAAATGTCGCAAGTCAGAACGATCAGTTTGTATAAATTTTATGATATGGATATGCAGACAAAGAAATACAGGGAAGAGTAATTTTTAATCTTAAAACAAATCTTTATTCAGTAAAAAATAGACTGAAACAGTTTGCCTTATAAATGAAACTTCACTGAGGTCCATAAGCCTAAAAACATAAAATTTGAATTTCTTACACTGATCAGCTAGGGTACTTAAAACAGAAAGATATGCAAAAGATAGCAAAGAAATTTACTCAGAGACAAAAATAAAACCATATATAGTGCTATTCTTAGAAAAGCGTTGCAACGCTTTACAATTTTGGGTCAGTTTCCACCATAAGAATAATAATCATGAAGTAAGCGAATTATCTAAAATTTTGCAAACAAGTTATAGGTCTAGACCTACATCACATTCAACATTAATCTCGAAAAATTATTTCCCGTCCCTCCAGGTCAAAAATTCGCAGTGGAGTCCCTTTAACTCAAACGGACATGAGTTAACAGTATAGATCGGTATGTCAAGAATAAGTATAATTAATGAAAGATTTTATAAAGTTTAAAATTAACCTGTATATCTTTAAGAAAACTGTCCGTAATAATTCCTTTAGCCAGCAGTTTGTTAGCTACATCGTCCGACCACTGTAAATTCCTTATTAAAAAATGGCGGTGTTGATGTAAAACCTCCTTCTGTTTGTTGTTCATAGTTCACACAGTTTATCTGTAATGATATATATGTAAACTATGTAAATATGTTGTTTTTTATTTGTTGTTTTTATCAAATGCATTCAAATAACAATGAAGTGGTTCAATATTGGTCAATGGTTTTATATTGCTAACATTTTACACAATTATTTAAGTTTACACACAAATGTAAGCAAATTTCACAGAAAAAGACAATTTATGGTATTAAGCGAATAATGTTTCCGTTTACAAATGTATTTTTAAACAATAGATTATATGTCACAACAGAAGAATTTTAATTCACTTATCAGTGCTGAAATTTTCTTTGGCTGTGCAAACAATTAAACTTTTCAAGAATTTCAAACGTTTCACACATTTAAATACTTTAATACACCAAGTGCATCCAATGAATTAAAAAAAAAACAAACAATTGGAAGTTTTAATTTATTTGTTTCAAAGTAATTTTTTATTAATCAACAGCGGAAGAAAGAAAACATTTTTAAAAAGATAAAAAAGAATAATACTTTTAAATACATGTATGTTCACGCTCGGGAGCGAATTTGAGTGCAAGAACTTAAAAGTCACCAACTGGATTCATGTTATCTAAAACACGTGCCTACAGACCTCCATTCGGACTAAATGATATATGATTTTCAATAAAAACGGTTCAAAAGAAAAAAATCCTAATAATATTTCAATGAAATACATCACGGATTGTTCTTATATCGTTTTCAAAAGGCTTTAACTACCTGTATAATCAAACAAAGTTATCTAATCCCCTCACTTGAAAACAAATCCAACGTTTACATACAGACAGCAACAACAAAATCCTTAACATATCTCAAAATTCTCATTTTAAAACGCTCCTATTTTCAGTTCTAGTTCGAAATCGTATCATTTTAATAATTTGGTACACATAAAAGTTAAGTCCAACCGGTATAGATCTAAAGCACGTTTTAAGTAAGAATTGACCTCAAACTCGTTCCCAAAGAATCGATCCGACATTAAGCCGTTGTGTTCTTATTTATAGATGTATCAGCCAAGATTGAAGGTCTTATTAATAATAATGATATTTTCTTTACAAATCCTGGCCAATTATTTGTAATAATATTACTGCCGAGCGCTCGTACATTTTTGTATATTAATTATGCCGGAATAGAACAGTATTGTATTTCGATTTTAGCTACAAACTCTATACACAAAGCTACGGGGTATTGAGCACGCCCGCGGATAAGGGTTCGGCTTTTATATTATATTTGAAAATTCATTTACAGTCTGTTTTCAATAAATGTTGACTCACTCACTCCTACTGCCTTCAAAAAGGAGCATTTAACGGAGACAACATTTAACGGAGACAGTGATATAATGTGTGGACGGTATCTTGTAATTACATAGTACCAGTACCACCAATAAACAGGTTCCTATATACCGAGTCGGCAACATTTTCAATATTTCAGTTTTGAGCGTTCTGTAGGAATTCCGTTTTTCTCTATTTGTGTAATATCTTAATCAATATAAAAATTTAAAATCCCTGTGCTGAAACAGACACTGCATATACAATGTATCAAATGACTGAAAATGCCATAATAGTTGAAAAGTGGAAAACTGTAATAATTAATTATATTTAAACAATATGGCTACATATAATATGAACATACATTCCGACATACATTGTATTTGAAATAATTTGGAAATTGTTTTTTTTATAGAACTGTCGAACTTTAAAATAAGGCAAATTAAAACTATGCACAACATAGGTTAAAGGAGCCTTTACTTACTGTAATGTTAAACAGTTGCCTTAAATAGGCGATGTCTTCGTTCAAACGGGGTGTAAATAGAAAAATTGCATAATTTCTCACATAATCACACACAGGTGCGTGTGGGGCTTATATTGTTAATAATTTTGATCAGTTGAATGACAATGTAAATATTGCGTTTTGCTTAATGTTTATTTAAAGGAAAAAGCGCAGAATGTGTTGATAATGCAATGTATGTATATGCACAAGATCCGTGAACATTTGTTAAAGTGACATTATGCCAATCCAAGGGTATAAAGTGAATGGACATGTAAATGCCAAGAGAACTTTACATTTTATCATTATTCCTTGCAATTTTATAATTTAGTTCGATGAACGATAACAAAAAAACTCACATAACCCAAGCAAATTTCATACAAATATCCATTGAAATTTTGACATGTAACGTTTCAGTCATAAAGAGTGGGACACTTTTTTTTATATCCTAGGCAGATTTACATTTTGTCATTAACATATTCCAATATCAACCTACTGGTCAATTACAATTATATCAGTCAATCTTTGGAAATATATAGTCAAATGAGCATACTGTTAATCCATTTATTTATAATAATAATAATAATAATAATAGTAATAATAGTAATAATAATGATAATAATAATAATAATAATAATGATTAATGATAATGATAATAATTTATAAAAGGGTATGCCACGTGCTTGTATATTGTTTCAAAAGGTAATTCTAAAGGTAATAAAGTTAATTATGAAAAAGTAGAATTTATTTCTATTTATATAACAGTGATTCTTTTTGATACTACTCTACTGTATATGTGTAACGGACTTTAAAATGTTTACAAAGAATCAAAATATTCATTTACTCGTTTAACTTTATCACCAATTTGAACTGTTACTACAACATTATCCCTTATTTTTAACTTTCATGCTTCATTATTTTAGTTGGGTTAATTTTGATGATCTTCACGTGAAACTAAAATCTTACCTACTTTTTCACATGTTATTTACATGATTTACATATATGTAAATATGTGAAAAAGCACGAATATCTCATGGACCAAAAATCCGAAGACGCCGTCTTTTGTCAGTATAAAGGATATCTTTCCGGGTATTAAGTAACCTATGCATTTAACATTTATTTCGAATACAATTTTTGCCCTTTGTTAAGTTTTGTAACATCTGTGGATTCCTGTATAATGCACTAAAATTTAATGCATGAATCTGAAATATGAAACATATATTTCATAGGTCATAAGCAATGTTTATTCATCTATATAGGACGACAATTTGTTTGCTTTGATTGAAGAAAATATCAATCATTGCAATGTATAAAATTTCAATACTTTTGACCTCCTACCAAAACAATCCCCAAACAACAACGACAACAACAACAATAATTATCCAATGGCATGAAAATGTACCTTTCAACATTTTTAACAAAGAACAAATATTCATATCAATGTACAAGTTTTTGTACCATATTTTTACAATACATGTTTAACGTTATAATTTTTTTTTTTAAGTTGAAAGTACTTTTAGCTTCCATGATGATTTTTATAAAAGAGATTTCACTACAGACATTTAAAAGCTTTCCATTAATTATCATACTGTACTAGCATTTAGTTAGGTTTTTAATATTTTATGTATGTAAATCAATTATATCATTCATGTTGTCAATGAAACAAAAACAATAGTCCGTCTTGGCGTAGGTATACGTAATATTGTGTTCTCGCAACTACTATGAAACGTTATGATACATTTGAGCCGCGTCAAGACAAAACCAACATAATGGGTTTGCGACTAGCATGGATCCAGACCAGCCTGCGCATCCGCGTAGTCTGATCAGGATCCATGCTGTTCGCTTACAAACCCTATAACAAGTAGAGAAACTGAGAGCGAACAGCATGGATCCTGATCATACTGCCCGGATGCGCAGGCTGGTCTGGATCCATGCTGGTCGCAAACGCACTATGTTGGTTTTGTCATGACGCGGCTCATTTGTATTTCTCATCGTATGTACGAATGCCAACATTTCTTGCACGCAATAGATTATGTCCCAGTCAATTTTAACTATTGTTGCATCCCTAGAGAATAAAGCCCTTATTTAAAGATTTACAACCAGAAAGGCTCCAGCATATGGGGACAGAGAGATGGCAAAATATCTGTAATTATAATATTATGTCCCTTCACTGCGAACTGTGAAATTTTCCACATTATTTCAGTGTCTCTCCACTGAAGATTCTAGGCATAACAGGGCTGAATTTTTTTCCCGGAGATGTGTGTACCAATTGATTTCGGTCTTATCCAATAACTTATGTGAACAATTTTAGCTTACTTCCTCTCTCTGTTTTTTTTCCAGAAAGAAATAATTTTTGCTGTCCCAAAAATTAAATCGTGGCAACGGTTTTCCCTCACGCGGAAGGAAAAAGAAGAAGACGACAAAACTGCATTGTTAGGGAAGATATAATGAACAACACAGCTCATTTGCCCGGCACCCCCCAGATGCCCGGCCGTTGGGCCGGGAACAAGGTTAATCAGTGCATTAGGTTTGTAATAAAATCTATACACAAGTCGGCCTTTCTTACATACAGTTTTGTTTTTATACATTTATTCATTAATTATGTCGAAAGAATTCCATGCACGGTTCGGTTTTGTCAAATGAACGTTCATTTGTCTCAAGTACATATTAAGTAGATTATATTTACAAGGGCTACTTATATGTACCCTCGGCTACTATTTAAATAAAGTATTATCCCAGGGTACTTCACCGGTTAACAATAGTATCAAATACGGGTTTATAATTATTAGTTCAAAGGTCAAGGCAGGGGTCTTGAGAAAATTAACTAACGTTATTTCCCTCTTTCTACAACCCCAACAAACAATTAAGCAAATACTTTACTGAAGATGGATCGCATTCATTGAGAAAACTGCACAATATTGTTCTTAATTTGGAAAAAAAAATTCATAATCTTAACAAATTGTTATCAATATAAAGTTTCGAGCACATTATTTATGAAAATTAGTTTTGGGGTATTATAATGGGATTTCTTCCGAATAAGCCGTGCAACCAACTAAAGTCCGTGCTTAAAGTTATCTTTTAAATAAGTAAAGTTTAGAATGATCAGTATCTATATATTCAATAATGCCAGAAGTAAGTTTCGCTGTATCAAGCTATATATCAGCAGAATGTAGTCAACACATTATTGTTTTAAACTTGAAAAGGGTGCTTCCAAAATATCAAGATGAAAGAAATATGCTTGTAAATTTCATTAAGAGCGAATAAAGCATGAACGAAATTTTAATTAAAGGTTAACATCTTACTTAAAATAGCAACTTATTTTGTTTTGCGAACATTGTATTCTCCTAAGATACAATAATCATGGATACATTTTATGTGACAGTGTTTTCGGGAATCGACCAACAACTTACTAATTTTACCGTTAAAAACGAAAAAATAAAAAATAAAAATAAATATCTTTCGTTAGATATAGCTTTATGCCAAGCCACCAATTACAAAGATATCGTCATTTTGAAATATATAATGATTTACTGGAAACAGAAAAGAGCACAGTAGACTAAATTTTTGTGACTCAATGGCCTCTTAATAATGTATTCTTATTATATTAAAATACTTTAAAGCTATTTTTTTTAAAAGTCACAATACAAATGTGGACAGTTTTCATATTATTAGAATATCATCAAAGGTTTGAAAAAAGAAAACGAAAAAAACAACAAAAATATACAGGTGAAATAAAGAGAAATCATAAATAAATGAAATCAAAACAAAAAATAAAAAGGACAATAAAATAAAGAAACAACAAGTTTAACAACAACAATAACAACAGTAACAACAAAACAACTTACCTTTCTCTTTATTTTAAATGATTACACATCGCTTGAATTTGCTACTACACAATTAATATATTACTATCTTAAAGTAGGCAATAATAAAACTTCAAAAATCTTAATATCTTGTTTAATTTAACTAAACATATTTTAAAATTTATCGCATACTTTATAACATTGATTGAACTCTTCTGTCAAAACTAAAATGATCAATATCTTATCTTATTTGAAACACTTAAATACCTCCTTGATAGTCACAATATACCGTACTGATACGAGATTTAATATAACCGATTATATATATATACGATCTGCCATCATATTTAAGAACAAGGTCCCGATTATTAAAAAGATAAAAGATACCACGCGTCATTTAAAGTTTGAAAGGCTTGGTTTAAATGTTTTTATCGATAAACATAGGTCTTTAATTACATTTTTTGGGGTAATTAGGTATATAAATAGTATGAATATATAGAATTATTTGCGTTGACCAATGCTTGTTTGAATATATTAAGAAGTTTAATATTCGGATTATATTCGCTATTAACAGTGATAATAATTAATTTTGACACATCGTTTGTAAAGAATAAAGCCGATACTACCGGTCGATGACGTACATGCCA